GTGTTATTTTTTTCGCTGTACCCCGTTTCTTTATTATATTTTTATCTTCCTTCCGCTCATTTGTCAGTCCGCGATTTTTTTGTTTTTGTATTTTTTTACTCTTTATGTTTTTTAATTGTATTTAGTTGCATTGGTAATTATTGATTTTTTTTTTACATAGTCCAAATTACTTTGTCATGCAAATATGTATAATTAAATTATATTATTATGTTCTATTTATAACTCTGTGCTTTTCAAATCTATCGCTGGAATTCTAATCAGATTCTTAAGATTACAATGAAATTCTTATCTCTGAATCTTAAAAGGGAGTCTTTTAAGAGGGGAGTCATCAATAGTCTTTCTTCTAATTAGAGTTCTTATCTCAGAGTTCTTTAAAAGTTCTGATGATAAATAGTTTATATATAATATATATTTAAAAACTATCTTTGATAGTTTTAATACAGTTCAACAGTCGTATATTTGAGTTACGTCCATTGGAAATCAGTCAAAACCATCTCTTTTAATCAAAAACTATCGATAATTGCGAATAATTTTATTTATCGAAAATCTTAAAACAGATAAAAATGGTTATTAAACATAAAGTACTTTCCTTGATTATTAATACGGATAAATTTTAATATTTTTTTATATTTGCAATTAATTGCTTATAATCGATAACAATATAACCTCAAGGAAGTAGTGTTAGAAAACGTAGCGATATAAAAAAGCTATCGATAATTGCAGAGGCAATCGTTCAAATTTGTCGATAGCACGCAGAGAATTTCGCAGAGCTCTCGATTTCAACTGGAAATCAAATAGTTGTCAATTGGCAACCTTTGTTAACCGTTGCCTGCAGTGCAGCTGCATTTATGGCTTAGACAGATTTTGCCTTTGGTCAATTCTTGGCAATTTTTTGCTTCCTTCCGCAGCTCACTGGCACACTCAGCCCGCACCCCCAGCCGCATCCGCCACCCCCCCCCAACTACTGCAGCCATTTTTTAGCTGTGGCTCAGCTTTGTTGTTGCTGTCAGCTCGCTTTTCAATTATATATATATGTGTGTGTGTGTGTGTGTCTGTGTGTGTGTGTGTGAGTTGGCTTTGTTCTGGTCCTGGCCAGGATTTGCCTTGTTGGCTGCGACTTGTTTCTGCTTTGGCCATTGTGCCATTTAAGCTATATATCACTCATACGCAGCGTTGGCGCTTCATTTTCATGCACTAATTGCGTTAGAATTTCAATGGAGATTTGTGCCCCCGTTGTCTCAGATCCACCCCTGCTCCTGTTGCTCATCCTGGTTCAGATCCTGTTCCTGCTGCTCGCCGAGCTTAACCCGAACGCATTGATTTGACTTTGGTCACATGCAGATTTTTTAATTGGAACTCGCTCGACGCTCGATTCCATTGCTGATAATCGATGCCTGTGTACGAGGCGGTGGGCGTGGCCGGCCCGCTCTGATTTTGTTTCATCTTTTTTTTTTTTGTTTGTGTTCTCCGAAAAGGGGATGCTAACTGCCATTTGTAACAGTTTTTTTTTTAAGATTTTCTTGCAACCTTTTTTTTCTTCGTTTTTGTTTTTTTTTTGTTGCTGTACATAAACCCAAGTCCAAGTTTCAGCTAAGAACCCTTGCAGCCCCTTTTCGCTCGGGCTATTAGAGCGCCGGCGTCGACGTTGACGTCGGCAACGTAATTAAAAACAAGAAATGCTAAACAAGAAATATACAACAACAACAACAATAACGTGGAAAGTGGAGGCAAGAAAAAATGTGCCAAGAAACTGGCCAAGTCCTTCTTCTAGCCATTCTGCTGCGCGAGGCTCGCAAATTTATTTAAATTTTGTGCGCCAAACTCTTTTTCTATCTGCCCTTTTTTTCCCCCGTCGAATGCTCTGCTGGAGCTGTGGGTATTAGGATTTTGTGTGGAAACATGTTATTTATAAATAAAAAAAAAAGCTATAAAATATAGATAAATATATATTTACAAGTTATGTCAATACAGTGGGAATTCATTTTGCTGTTTCAAAAATTTTAGCTATAGATTTGATTAAGCTCGATTATAAATTGATAATTATAGTTAGTTAGGCTACTTGATTAGGAGCTGAAGGTTTTTCAGAATGGAATAGTCCGTTTGTTATTTTTGATTGATTTTTTATGGTAACTAGTCGAAAAAGGGCTAAAATAGTGTTATATAGTTCTTGGATATGGCTAAACTGTCCCGCAGGCGATATTTTTTGGTTTCGAGTCGCTTTAGTTGACATTTTTTCAGTTGTGGCCTTCTTAGAGTAAAAATTAAAAGCTAATTTTGTTGTTGTGAAAAACTTGATGAAAAGTTCAGATTAGAAATCCGCATATGAATGCGCACTTAAAAACTGCGTGACTTCTTTAGATGTAAATGCATATATATATACATATATATATATATTTAAAAGATATATATATATATTTATATGTTCATATAGTAGATGGTTCAGAGAATCAGCTAAATTGTCATATCCCGTTTGGTTAAAAAAAATACATTCTTCAGCAAACTTTTAGTTGTAGACTAACTTGTTTTTAAAGACAGCAAAATTGAAAGCTCCGCAAATATTTTGTATAATTTTTTAATGTGCCCTCGAACAACGGAATAGATTTTTAGTGGGAGCACAGTTTTATATAGTAAAGAAAATAATAATTTGATTAAGAAAAATACATTTCATTTTAGTTTTTACTTTATTATTTGTCTAAAAATTAAATTAAAATGCAAATAGTTGAATAAAACGCGTGCAGTCGTCTCTTAAGATATTTAATGTTCGGCTCGATGATAAATTCTCGCATATTGTGTACAATTTTTTTACCTTTTCTTGTTGTTGGCAATTTCTTGTTATTTTTAATAAAGTGCCGAGCGAGACGCTGGCGCTGGCGTTGGCCAACAAGGGCCAAGAAAAGTGCGAGTAGCTGCAGAAAAAGTTGCGTAAATTTGTTATGTATTTTTCTTTTTATTTTTTATTTGTACCCTTCTTATTAATATTGTTGTTGCTGTTTTCTTTTTGATTCTTATTTTGTTAACTTAAATAAATAAATAAGGCGTTGTGTGGCCGGGTGGCCGTGGACGTGGACCTGGGCGCGGGCGCTGCCGTCGCGTTGATGAGCCGCAGCAGCGGCAACGACCACAAAATCCGCCAGCTACACACCCCTCCCCCCTTTCCGCGCAATTCCGCAACCCTTCCAAGCAATCATGCATCCTTTACATGCCTCCACTTGCCTCCTGCCCCGGCCAACCAACCGCCGCTGGCCCATGCCCCCGTAGTTCCGTTTCCGGCGCCAGCCATTTGCATCTACAGCTACAACAACAAGAAATTTCTTTCATTTATTCGAAGGTTCTGCGACCCCTCCCCCCGCACCACGCACCTATATATGAATACATATACATATATCCGCATGCATATACATATATATATACATATATTTTTGTCGTGTCGAAGAAGAAAAGATTCTTTTTTTTTTTGTTTAAAGCACACAGAACACAACTGGAAACTGGACTTGCACTGGACCGGGGAGTGGGTGGTGGGGGGTTTCGGTTAGGTCAATAGGTGGGCGGGTCTGTAACGGGTACACAAATTTTTTCAACCTACTCAATTTTTCGCCTTAATTTCTTTGCTTTTTTTTTTTTTGGTTTTTTGTTTCTTCGACTGCCAAGGGACACCGCAGCCAAGAGGCGGTAATAAGAATTTTTTCTTTAGTTCTCTCAGCCTTTCTCACCCTTAACTTTGGCCAACCCTAGCCCCGCCCGCCCGCCTGCCAGTCCCCGGCCGCGCCTTCTGTGCGTGTGCGCCGGAGTGTTTTTTCCGTATTTTTAATTTAAAATGCGAAGCATAAAAAAAAAACCGAAGAAAATATCAAATGCGCTTGGGGTTGAGTGCGGCTCTGAGGCTGGTAAAAATAAAGAGGAGCAAAAAAAAAAAAAAAATTATAAAAAGAAGCAAAACGAAACGAAAAGAAAAGCATCTCCGTCGCACTGCTTAAAAGAAAAACTTCTGAAGTAAATATTTGTCTGTCCAATTGCTGCGACGGGCTGCCAACTGCAGTGGCCATTCGGTCTGCGGCCGTGGGTGGACGGGGTAGGCAGGTCAACGCTGGCTACCGAGCAGTGGGCGTTTGCCAACGGGCGAAACTGGACTCAGTTAGTGACCATGCCAAATGGGGAGGCCCTGTCCAAAACCAAAGACAAGCGCCAGCCCAGCCGTAATGACTGCTACAGCCCCAAAGCAGCCCAGCGACAAAACAACACCAATTTTTTTCCTCTCATCTGTGTGTTTTTTTCTGCCTGTCTGTCTGTCTATCTGTCTGTTGCCCAGTCTGTGGGTGGCCCAGCCAAATGGGTGTGGCTAGTTTTGGAAGACATTCGCATCGCTGTCGAAGATTCGCCAAATATTCCAGCGAAATCCAAAGAAATGTTATGTTCGACCCGTTATGAAATCGAAAAACTTTAGCCAGTGTAACGTTTAGGGATGGCGGACATGAAATAAATAAAGTGAACGAGAGAGAGAAAAAGACATCTATATAAGCGAAACGTTTACGAATATGCCTAAAGTAGAATTTGAGCATATAAGAGCGATAAATACGTTGACAAAGAGAGATAAGGAGAGAGAGAGTTGTAAAGAGATAACGATATATATGGTTGAATAGAAAAGAAAGAAGGAGGAGAAGGAGAAGTTTTCCATAGGGGCAACTACATATAATTTGTTGCTTGAACAGGTTGGGAATTCTAAAAGTGAAAACAATACATGTTATTTATTGCTAAAACTGTTTGGGAGTTCTTAAGGCAAATACAAACTTAGCTTGTGTTAATTTTAAAGTTAAATGTTTAATTTTAAGAAAGGGCAACTATTATACATATAACCGATTGCTTAAACAGGTTGGGAATCTTAATTCTTGTCAGTGTCTGATTGTTAATGTTTCATGTTTTAACATTCAGTTTAATGCACATTTATTCTTAATTGAACGTTCTGTACTAACTGTTCTTTATGTTTTTTCTTACGATTCTTGCAGGGCTTGCTGCGCACCGCAGAACAATTGAAAATCAAAGGCCTCTGCGAGCCGGCTGAGAATGCGGATGATTTAAATGACGCGGCATCGGCGACAATAACCGTATCGGAGAACATACAGCAGGCGGTTGTTGGGAACATTGTGAACGCGAGCCTAGTGCCCGGCGCGCCCTCGCCCACAATCGAGCAGCAGCAACAGCACCATCAGCAGCAACAACAGCAACAACAGCAGCAGCAGCAACAGCAGCAGCAACAGCAGCAGCAGCAGCAACAGGAGCAACTGGTGAATAGTGCGCTGCTGACACAGCATACGCTTGCAACAATCAGTGGCATACAGTTGGCCAACGCGGCCGGTCAGCAGCTGCTGAGCAACACAGGCGGCGGCACAAGCAGCAGCTTGCAACAGTTGCAGCAGCAGCAACAGCAGCAGCAGCAGCAGCAGCAATTGCAGCCAACGCCGCGTAAATCGCGACTGCGTAAACGCTCCAAATCGCCAGATTTGCAACTGGGTGGCAACGCCGCCGGCCAGCAACCACAGCCGGCACACCACCAGCAGCAACAGCAACAACAACATCAGCAACAACAGCATCAGCAACAACAACAGCAACAACAACAACAACACCATCATCCGCAAACGATACTCATCCAGGGACAAAATCAAACATCGATCGTGAGTCTACAGCAAACAGCAGACGGCAATTATATACCAGTGGCAACAGCTGGCGACGACTCCGATAGCGATAACAAGCCGCAAAAGATCTGCAAGACAGAGCAGTCGGTGGCCTCGCCGGCATCCAACTCGTCCACATCGAATAATGCAGCGGGCGTGAGCGGCCAGGCGATTGTGACACAAATTGTAGTAGCGCGCGACGGAAAAGATAAAAATATGACTAGTTTAGGCATGGGCATGGTAAGTGTCGCCGCAGCTGCGAGTCGCGTCTCTATCTTTCTCTCTCTCTCTCTCAGTCAATCAATCTGTCAATCAATCAATCAATCAGTCACACACACACACCTTGTACTGACCCCGTGCCCGCACACTGTGCTGTCACATTCTCTAGCCCACTATTTGAGCCATTTTTAACATATTGCAATTCTCTTATCCCTTCCCCAAAAACCCAACCCATGTGCAGAACGGCGGTCTGTTGGGCGTGCCCATGGGCTTTCTGGACTTCACACCGGAACCACCAGCACCATCGGCCACACCAGTCACCGTTACGGAACACGTCGATCTATCGTGCAACCCCAGCACCGATACACGCGATCTATCAAGTGAGTTTCGGTAGCGCAACACTTTGAAATTTTACAATTAATATAATAAATATAACTAAATATATATATAAGGTAGTTATAATATGCAACAGTTGACTTAAGATCTTGGTATTTGAAAAGAATCGAAGGAATCCAAGGACAAGCTGCATACTCTAGATTTAAACTCGAGCTGAACAGCTTAAGAATTAGTTCACACTCAAAAAAGTTCTCTTGCAATAATTTGTCATTAGAAATAATATGGGTTAAGTTGAAAAACAAAGCTTAATACTTATCAATAATCTTGTAAATACATCAAATTTGCTTGGTTGCTGCGAAAAGTGAGTAACACGTCTCAAATAAGTCTTTGAACCCAAGACGGATTGAATTTTCCGCAAAGTGAGAGATGCCCTTCAAATGAATTCCAACAAAGATCTTTGGAAATGAGTTTGAGGCCGAAGAACTTTTCTTTCTTAATATTATATGTAAAATTGTCTTTTAACAAACATTTTGTGCATCAATAATTTCGACATAATTACTTGACTAATTACTTTGGGTATTTCATTAATTACTCAATGTCATTAGCAGCTGCTTTAACTGTCATTTATCGATAAATATCCGGTTATTTAAGAATATTTGGACATCTTTACAGAAGCTAATGTTTCCTTGAGATAGTTACGAGAGAGAATTTCATAATTTTTGCATAATTAATTGAATAAATATATTTATGTTGCTTAATTACCAAGTTAATGACCTTATATGAAATAGTCATTAATTAATTCATTAATTAATTAATAATTAATTCGCGAAAGGCCTTAAGATAAGAAGCCTTGGCCTTGGCATATTCCATAGTTAGAAATAAAAAGTGAGACCTAAAATATTTTACATTTAATAGTTATATATTAATCTTATTATTTGTAATTTACTTGCATAATGCATTTTATTAATTTGACTGCTTGAACTTGTTTACTAAATCAAAATCTTTTTCAATAATACATTTTAGATCCCACCGAACCGCTCGACATTGACAATCATTTGGCTCAGCACATCCATCGGCTCGATCAATCTCCCATGCACTCAATATCACATCACCATGCAACCGGGGACGAGAGCAACTCGAATCTGGCGCAGCATATCAAAAGTGAGGTGATTGAGGCCAAGCACCTGGTGCATGTGCAACAGCAGCAGCAGCAACAACAACAACAACAGCAACAACAGCAACAACAGCAACAACAGCAACAACAGCAACAGCAACAACATGCACATCATCACCAGCACTTGCATGCCCAGCAATTGCTGGCGCAGAGTCAGCAACAGCAACACCAGCAGCAGCAGCAGCAACAACAGCAGCAACAGCAGCAGCAGCAGCAGGCGGCGGTGCATGCGGCACAGCATGCAGCGCTTGCAACGCATGCAGAAATCGGTGGCGCCACCGTCATGGAGATTGATCCGAGCCAGATCAAGCATGAGCCGGGCATGATTATAACGCCAGAGATTGTCAATATGATGTCCACCGGGCATATGGGTAAGTTAATAGAGAAAGAATATGAATATCACAAGAGCGTGCCACAGCCCTTTGAACTTGCCACTAATCGCATTTCCATTTCCATTCCAGACATGTACAACTCGGATACGAGCGAGGACTCAATGATGATCGCCAACGGTTCGCCGCACGATCAGAATGAGCCGCATTATACGAATTTGGATCAGCAGCACGGCGGCCTGGGTGGCAGCGTTTGCGGCCCCGGCGCCGGTGGTGTTGGTGGTGGTGGTGGTGGCGGCATTGGTGGTGGTGGTAGTGCTGGCGAGAAAGGTCAGTTTAATGGTCCCAAAGCTTGGACACAAGATGATATGAATTCAGCTTTAGATGCATTAAAGAATCAAAACATGAGCCTGACGAAAGCATCTGCCATTTATGGCATACCATCAACGACCTTATGGCAGCGTGCTCATCGTTTGGGCATCGAAACGCCTAAGAAGGAGGGCGGTACCAAATCGTGGAACGAGGATGCCTTACAGAATGCCTTGGAGGCGTTGCGTTCGGGTCAAATATCGGCTAATAAAGCATCCAAAGCGTTTGGTATACCCTCATCGACGCTCTACAAGATTGCGCGTCGCGAGGGCATACGGCTGGCGGCGCCATTCAATGCCGCACCAACCACGTGGACACCCGAGGATTTGGAGCGTGCATTGGAGGCGATACGCGCCGGCAATACGTCTGTACAAAAAGCAAGTGCCGAATTCGGCATACCGACAGGTGAGTTCAGCCCCTTCCATTGTAACGATCAAATTTGGTCTGCCCGCTGGCCGCTGGCACTCGCCACTCGTTGACCTCGGCACTAGCGCAAGACAAGTTATAGATTGATTGTGCTCGCTAGTGGTACTCGTTACATTCTACTCGGTGGTGTTTCTTTTGCGCCATTCGTCACTCGTTGTAATTAACTCGTTATACTCCATTATAAACTCCTCGTACACTCTGCTGATACTCGTTACATTCTACTCGTTGGTGTTCCTTTTTCACCATTCGTTATTCGTTACTTTCTATAAACCGATTCTTCACTCGTTACCTTCGATTAACTCCGTTCGTTACATATTTATTGTACGCCCTAGTGGCACTCGTTACTTTCTTCTCGTTACTCGCTGCATGTTGCTCGTTACATGTTTGCGTCTTAATATGATTGTGTTCTCCTGAGATATCCGTTATTTGTCACACTGCACTTAAAGAAAACTTTTTGCTCATTGGCCTTGAAGAAACACGCGTTACTTGCTTCATGTTGCTCTTTACATGAAGTTCTCTCCCCTCCACACGTGACATAGTTCTTCTTCGCACTCGTTACTCGATAGTGTTTCCTTGAGTCGATTCGTGCAAACTGCTTCCGGTTTGCTAACATCATTTCCTTTTCTTGTTATTGGACTTCTGCTAGTTCATTACGCCCCTTGTAATTGTTTCCTGCCGCCTGGCCATTTGTGCTAATTCATATACAATTCTTAATGCCAAAGGAACACTTTATGGACGCTGCAAACGGGAGGGCATCGAACTGTCGCGTTCGAATCCAACACCTTGGTCCGAGGATGCCATGAACGAGGCATTGAACTCAGTGCGGTAAGTATGCCATAAATTTCAATACCTATTCAAATAAACCAAAATGCGTTTCTTTTTACCCTAAAAGCGTCGGTCAAATGTCCATCAATCAGGCGGCCATACACTACAACCTGCCCTACAGTTCGCTCTACGGACGCTTCAAGCGTGGCAAATACGATGTCGTGGCCAATACCAGTGGCATTTCCCTCAACAATACATCGGGCAACACGACCGGCAGCATTGAGATTATCGAGCATAGTCAAGAGAATTCGGTAGGTTCCTCAAGAAAAACTAACGAGCAAACGCACACACACACACAAACACACACACATACATATACAAAAACATATTGGTGATATGTGATAGATGATATGCCTAACAAAAAGGAATGCCTAATCTATGGTCATAACGTCCTTCAGAAATTTATTAACTCTTCAGAGAAGATTCGAACGATGTCGGCTTGGTCTAAATATCTTAATAAACGAAGTAGATTTTCATAGAAGAACCTAGTTTTCGAGCTATTTATGCATGTATTTGAGGATTATTGTCACACTAGTATATGCAAACACCATCTTTTCGGAGATGAGAATACTCCCTCTACTAAAGTATAACTAGATCGCATTATACGATATACAATATGAACAATTTCTTTTGCACAATCATAACTCGTTAGTGGAAAGTCTTGGCATTCGCTATCACAACTGCTGCTCACAGTTGCTCGATTACATAAAGATTGTAAGGCTAGCTTATAATCTTAATCGAACGATATAATACGAACGATAAATATACTCGTTGAAAGGTTACTCGCTGTTAAAATTGTCAATCTCTACTCGCTACTTTAGCTAATGCTTACACACATCATATACTCGATTCTATGTCTACTCGTTACTTAATACTCGCTAGCGAACAAGTACTCGCTACTTAAATCAGTCGAAATAGAAATAATTTTCACATTGTAATTGAGTTTGGATAGCCGACTGATATTGAAGTCAATTCAATTTGAAACGAAGATACTTTTATGATGAGTATCCTATAAAAACAATCATTAGGATTTGAAATCCTTGAACATACAGTTTCACCTTTCCATTCTTTGTGTGTGTTCGTTAACCTCCGCATCTAATGCAACATTTTGTGAACATTCTCTCATGCCACATACATATACTCATACACTAACACACACATACACTCACACACACACACACACAACTGCCAGCTTTGACTAACCGATAACAAATTTATTTATGCAAAGTTGCATATGTTGCAGCAACAGTTCCCGTACAGTCCGTCGCCGCATCCGCCGACGCCGCAGCACCACGGCACGCCGCAGCACCATGGCGCGCCGCAGCATCATAGCACGCCGATGCATCACAGTACACCGCAGCATCACAGTTCGCAGCAGGGTCCGCCGACGCCGCAGGGCATGCAACAGCACGTGGTGCACATGCAGCAGCAGCAGCAGTCGCCGCATCAGGCACACCATCAGCAGCAGCAGCAGCATATGCAACAGGATGTGGTCACATCGAGCAGCCAGGTGGTGCATAGCCAGCAACAGCAGCAACAGCAGCAGCAGCAGCAGCAGCAGCTTCAGCAGATCTATCAGCATCACGGCACGCCCGAGCGTAGTTGAGAATCACTGCACGCTGCGGCAATGCTAGGCGGCGGCGGCGGCGGCGGTGGCGGCAATGGAGGTGGAGGTGGTGGCGGCAACACAACACCAACAACAGCAACAGCAGCTGGAGCAGCAACACCCTTTGCCAGCATATCGGGCCTGGCCAGCGGATCGTCTACGGCGCCGCCATCGTCGAGCACAGCTGGCACCAGCAAGCGCAAGAAAGCGACTAAGCAAAAGCGTTGAGAAAGCGCCACCGCCGCTGCCGCCGCTGGCTGCGAGAGAGTTGAAGAAGATGTCGACAGCTCTGCCACGCCCACCAATAGCAACACAAACGCCACCGTCGTCGCTGCCGCCGCCGCCGCTGCCGCCGCCATTAAATTTCGCTTCAACTCGAAGCACTGGAAGCGCAAGTTAAAACAGTTTCATTTGTTGTTGTCGAAACCAACTGGAATAGAAGAAGAAGAAGAAGAAGAAGCGCTTGACGCTCAGCCAGAAATGAGAGCGCCAAGCGAAGAGAGCAAAGATAAGCAAACGTAAGAGCGAACAACTAAAGCGAAGAGCGTAACTTTTTGGCAGGAATTAAAAAGCAAAAAACAAAAGCAACAAAAAAAAAAAACCCAATCAAAATTTAAAGAGAACATTTATTCAAAATATATGAGAAAGCATTGCATTACACAATTTAGAATGTGTATCAAATGTAAATATTAATTTAATAATGTTAATTGTATATGAAATATGCTTTACACTAAACTACACTACACGACACGGCACACTTTTCGACTCGACTCCAAAATTCAAGAGCAGTTTGTTAGTTATATAATATGGGACAACTTGAATGTGTGTTAGAATTTTCATACATTTATAATTATAATTTCTTTGAACGAAACATTACATAAATTTAAGCGAAATGTGAGCAAAATTGCGGTACATTCTCTTTTGTAGCAGAATTCTGATATGATTTAACTTTTTTCTTTTGATTTACTGTTTTTTCTTCAACTTCTTCTAATTAGTTTAGTGTGAGACTGAAAGTGCGCCCCAAATTGTAAAAGCAACAGCTGCAGCAACAACAATTGTATAGGCAACACACACACACACACACACACACACACACACACACACACATACATATATATACAAATATGAAAAATGCTTTATAATTTTGTCTAGAAAAGAAAGAAAAGTAAAAAATACCTTAAAAAAATATAGAATTAAACCAAAATCATCAAGGTCTTAGAAATTAAACTCATTAGCTTGTAAAGAACTTTAAGCAGAACACACAAAAAAAAAAAACAAAGGTTAATTGAATTTTTAAAAAGCAAAAAGCGTGAAGCAAACAAAAAAAATAAAAATAAAAATAAATATTAATATAAATACTTAGCTATGTTTTAAGCAGAGAAAGTAAATGTAGCAAATGCATAACTGTGTAATTGAAGTTAAATGAAGATAAGCACATGAAATGGAATATGTATTTTTGATAAAAGATGGAAACAAACAAAACTAAAAATTGTAAAAAATATCAAAACTTTCTTAAGATGCGCCAGCAAAAACAATATGTCAAAAGCAAAGCAGAACGAAAGAAAACAACCTTAAAGAAATACACAAACACACACACATACACTCACACACATATTTAGAAAGTAATGTAAAATTTTTGCTAGTGTAGTGTCTCGACATAAGGAATAAAGCCCCAAACACCTCGACTTGATCCCAAAATATAGAAAAACGTGAAATAGTTTTATTTTGTTCTCGCCGCGCAACGCTAGGTGGCGCCACATGCATATATATGCATCAATAAATATATATATGTATGTATGTTATATATAAATATCTCAGTAAGTGGTTAGAAAAACTATCAAAAAATCAAAAAAAAAAGAAGCAAATCAAACGAAGGAACATTTATAAAAATTGTAAAAACAACTTTATTTTTATTTGAAATTGACAAAGAAATATTAAAAAAAAACTCTGTATAGCTTCCATTAGTTTATAGAACGTGTGCTGTATACAAACACAACACACACACACACACACACACACACACACACACACACACACACACACTCAAACACTCTCTCACACACACATACATATTTTTGAAGCAACTTCAAGTTTTGGTTTCAAGGAGAAGAAAATCAACGAGAGGGAAAAACAGGAAACTTTTTTTTGAAAAACTTTGTACATACATAAACATTTAGTTGTTAGAGAGAGAGAGAGAGAGAGAGCGAGAGAGAGAGAGAGGAAACAATTCGAAATGTTTTTGCACTTATTGCGCCTAATTTATTTAATGCATTATTTAAAACATATTTAGTGTGTGTTTACAAATCGTAGAACTGAAATGCAATATGCTTTACCTTAACTCAATCTAATTTAATTCCTATTATTTTTAGTTGCTACGTTTTTTTCACATTATTTTATTTAACGTTTGTACGATTTACAAACTAGGCCAACACTGTATATCATTGTAAAATAATTAACAATTCGTTGGACACGTGAACAGCATATGAAATAAAATCTGTAAGAGTTATAAATAAATTAAAAAAGGAGAAAAACAAACAACAACACATAAATCCATTAAATCTACATATATATAAATATATCATAATAACATTGTTAAAATTGTCGCAAGAACAATTAAAAAATAAACAAAAAAAAAACAAAAAAACAAAAGCGAAAAGCGAAAAGAGAAACGTAAATGAAAAGAAGAAAAACTGAGAATTGAAGGCAGATCCAGAGTATATATAAATAAATATGAAATCAATATGAAATCTAAAGAAAACATTTAAACAAATTATATACATATATAAACACAGATAAGCTTATTAAAGAACTAAGTGTAATCATTAGCCACACAATATTATAGCACATTTCGGATTATCAAGTATATATATATATATATATATATATATGTGCGGAAAATATCGATTATAAACCTAAATGTTAGCCGAGACGCGGAACTAAATAATAATTCTATTAATAATAATACTACAAATAATAATTATGCAAAATGTCCTCAGACATGCAAATACATGTAGTTTGATTTATGTATATGGCAATTGGAAGGCAGTTTAAACAACAAACATTTAATGTAATATTGGTATAACGTAATTTTTAAAGTGAGGTACTATAAATAAAAATTATTAAATAATATAAATCATAATCGATTCGTTTTTCTCGAATTTTCGTTATCTAAGTCAAATTAGTTACTTAATAATCGCAAACTGTTAATTTATTTTAAATTTTAAAACTTAACGTTTTTGTTCTCTAAATACTTAGCTCTTAACAATTGCCCTAAAACTGTACGAACGCAAAACAACGAAACTTAACGTTAACAGTCTTGCACCTCATTTAACAGAGCTACTCCACCGTTAACATCTTAGCTTAGCAACAGTTGAGTTATTTCGTGCTTGTCAGAGATGCGTATATTTAAGAATATTAGAAACAAATAATTTTCAAAAAAAGTAATACAAATGATTTTAAAAAAATATCACTTACAATTTAAATGTTATGTACTTGTAAATTTGTACTATGTTAATTGAATTTGTTGCTGTTACATTGCCATTCGTGTTGTGCCTTTTGGCTGCGACTCTCGCGCTGTTTTAAGTCTCTCTCGCTCTCGCCTGCCCGCTGTACGTTTGTGTTCTTAACATTTTTGAAATAACTCGAACGTTAACATTGTCATTTAAAATTGCATATTTCAGTTGGAGTTCTGCTTTCCACAGAGACGGTTCGGTTCGGTGAATTTTCGCAAATATCGTCGTGTTTTGTGTATGTGTGTGTGTGTTAAACTTTTTATACGCAGAATATTACAAAAAACACAGAGCGCAGCATTTTTGGTGTACAAGAAAAAGTGGTGCGCGAAACAGGATTTCGTTTTCGTCTTTGTTCCGTAAGTGCTTCTTCTTCCACATCTTCTGCAGCACAAAGTGTGCAAATACGAATGTTTCGCCAAAGGGCAGAATTCAATGTGATTTTTGCAAAAATCATAACTGTAAACAAAAGCGCGCAAAATGTATGAGTGTGTGTGTGTGTGTGTGTGTGAGTGTGTTTGCTTGGGTCTAAGGGCCAATAGAGGGGGGCAGCCTTATCAGTGCGCAGTTTATGAATTAATTAATAAATTGTACAATAATCTTATTACAAAATAAAGTGAATGCAAGTGAAAGTAATTGAATTGATGCGCAACAATTTGCGCAATTTGTGCTAGAATTTTGCAATTTATTTCTGAATGAAAACTGACAGCGGATGTGCCAATTTATATACGCAAATATTAACACAGATATTATGTTTTATTTTTTTGCGAATATGATGTGTGTACTAACAATTGCGTATATACTTGAGCCTGCCCGAAAGCCTCTGTGTATTAGGTCATGCGGGGCTTGGGCGGCAGCAAAAGCACACGGCGTTAGCTAAGAAAAGCAACGGCCCGCGACGTCCACCCACAAATTTAACTGCATAAACAGTTTATTTATATATTGAACAAACCAGCTGCAAGTTCAGGTTCGCCCGCACTTACAGAACTTGTAACCCTAATCGCATTACAGACGCATGTTACACACAGACTACACATACGCATAAAGCAAGGGGGCAAAAGAGAGCTCATCGGTTTACCGATCAACACGTTTTTGAATATTAACTTATTAAAGACAACAACATTTAACACAACAATAACCGCCAAAGGCCAACAACAAGAACGAGAATAGCAATAGCAACAGCAACAGCAACAAGAGAGCGCAGCACACAACGTGCTTGAAAGAGAGCGAGAGTGAGAGCACTGAGTGTGGTGTTCTCTGTTTGCAGCTTGCGTGGGCGCGAGAGCTGCTGAGCAAGCTTTTTTTGGACAGCTGATTATGGGCAGCATAAGAAAGTGCTAGCATGTTTGTGTGTGCATGTGTTTGTGTGTTTGTGTGCTAGTGTTCTGCTATCCTGCTGTCTACCTAAATAACAGCAGCAACAACAATAACAGCGACATCTTTACTGCTTTGTGGGGCAAAGGCAACGAGTGCCGCGTGTTGTGCGTGTCTGAGGGTTAATTAAACTCTCAACCGTTTCGATGTTGGCCCCCAAAACAATTCACTAGACCACAAGGTCTAGGTATTTAACAGCGCCCACATTGACACACATATTTCAGCTTATTTTTGAGTGCTGTCAAGTTGCCAAAAAAGTGAACCTACAAAAAATTGTTTTCAAAAATAAAGAACTTTAAATGCTCAAGTGGGTTGACTATGTCAATACGCACAACTTCGTTCCATACTATTGTCAAACAGTTAGCTGATAAATAAATAAAAGTACACTTGTTTAAATCAGAGAAAAAATTAATGTTAGGATTGACTGTTAAGAACTTGAAATGTTAAAGTAACATTTAAATTCATCAAATGTCTATGTTAACTGTTGCTGTTAAACGAAATTATCAATGTTAACTGTTGCTGTAAAAGGAAGATCTGCTAAGCTATGGCAGCTTTGCATGATTTAACGTGGATAACAAACAAAAATAACGAATTACAGCTAAAATTAAGCGTATATTAATGTTAACTGTTGCTGTTAAACGAAAAATAGATCTTAACTGTTGCTGTTAACCAAGACAGATTTACTTCATTGAAAATATCAATCAATATATATGCTAATACGGAACATTTAGAAAATCATATTTTCAATACAAGATGTGGCCTAAAAGTCTCTCGGCTCGAACATACCCTACGCACCTTGTTTGTCTAGGGTATTAACGCATAAAAATATTTTATGAAGATCTCGCTCTTTGATTGTAGCGTTTTTTTCGAAGCACTTCGAACAGCAATTAAAAATTTGACAAGGGTTTTTTATTGGATTATTCAGACAGCCGTAATTAAATACATTGTATGTAAATATACGAAATTTTCGACACATTTGAAACTGAAACATGGCTTAAAAGCAAATTCAATTCATGATTACGTTTTTGTTGTAATCAAATGGAAACTTAAGCCATGACGAAGCGCAGCCTTAAATCAAGCAGCTCTCCAGCTCTCAACTTCCGGTGTGTCTGTGTCTGACTGTGTGTTTGTGCTGTGTGCGTGTGTGTGTGTGTGTGTGTGTTTGCCTGGCCCCTGTTGCTGCATATCCTGAGTGCATTTCCTGTCCAGAAACTAAATTACAAACTGCGCAATTGCTGCCATTTTGTGTTGCCTGCTTCAAAGTTAATTAAAGTTTGTGGCTCGGCCAAGCAGAATTGCAAATCCTTTGGCAAATTGCGCCCGATATAAAACTTATGAATTTGCATTTATCTACTTGCAGCCAAGTTGTGGCAATCAGCTACACAAACAGAACTCTGTGTGGAACCAGCCTACGACAAGGTCGCGCTGCATAGCATATCACCGGCAACAACAACAACTTTTCTGCCACAAATCGTTGCACGCACGTAAGTTGTCTGTTTACATATTTTCCGTTCCGCTAACTAATTATATATATATATTTAGTATTTGTATTTATAAATGTGTCTGTCTGTAGCTGAGGTAATGGCAAAAGCTGGTAAAGTACGCATCTGCCTCTGATTGCCATGCAATCAGCTCTGTTTAATAATGCATATCCTGTCTGCATATAAAAAGGCGATACTTCTGCGTGTGTATCAGACAGAAATGCTTTAGCTTGTATTTTATGTACATTTCAAGTGCCGATTTAGAAGGAAATACATTTAAATTGCCTGGGTATTGAACTGCAAGCGACGTTGCTCTAATGTATGCCCCGTTCAGAAATATAGAACTTTCTTATTGCTAAATTAGAAAACTTAGAAATTTTCTTAAAGATAGATTTTGAATCGATTTTAACCTGAGAGAGAGATGCAAATATATAACTTTGATGCACATCTGATAACATTTTTATAGTAAGAATTTAACTTCTTATACTCTGTTCACGAGCTGAAAGAGAGCATATTGGCTTTGTGACAAGTCCATGTCCACAATTTTAAGGCATCTGCTGTAGTTAACACAGTTTAAGAGTCATTAGCTGAACAGTTTGAAAGTCACTTTGCTTGAAATAACGTCAGCATGCTAGAGATCTGTTGTTAATTGTAAGAAGAGTATTGCGCAGTCGATAATTGCTGATAAAAAATAGATTATATATAGCTTATATACATTTAACACGCATGGTCTATTGATCAGATTAAATATGAACATTAGCTAAATGCATATTTTAGTTAAAATAAATTTAGCTAAGCTAACTTAAGCAATATTATAACTAATGTTAAACAAACTTTACTCGTATTACGTTTTCTAAAATCGGAAAATATAGCTTTAAATTTAGGCTAAGCATTGAAATTAGTTGAAATTAAAAAAAAAAAACACACACTTAAGCCTATTTTATTGCTAATTTTCGTTTGCAAATTGAATGTTTGATCTAATAGCTGCCACATTTGGGCATTTGATAAAGGTAAATGCGCACGTGTCCGTCAAAAGGTAGAGACAACTGAATTACTTTAAGCTACTTAAGTATGCTTGAGCAGAGCTCACAACAGATCAACATGAGAGACAAAAAGGGTCAAGAACATTTTTGAATTAAATTTTGTAAATAATTCAACACTGATTTGTTTTGTGCCTTTAACACAAGTTTACATTTACATTGTTATATTCATTATTATTTTGATTTCTGGCTTACGCTTTATTTTGCCTACAAGGGTTTATGCTCTGATAACGAAAAATACACTGCCCGGTTGCGTATACTTAATATGCTAATCAAATTTTCGTAGCAATATTCTTTGTGTGTGAGCAAGGGTCCCTAACTGCTCTTAACTTTTGCTACATGTCTTCAAATTGTTCCATATATGTATGTATGTTTCTTCGAAATTGTTTCTTCTTCATCCACGCACAGTGGAGCGAGTGTTTGAGTAGACAGAACTAAAATTTTAATTGAAACTATATAGAATGGAAAAAGAAGCTTCTATATTTTATTAAATATATTATATTAAATATTGAATAATATATTAGTATTGGTATATATATTAATATGTAGAGATATATTCCCTATATATAACAAATCCACTTGAAAGCGTGGAAAAGTCGCGAATTCAGATCGGTCCCAAACTTATTTTCAAAGATGTTTGTTTACACTTTTCTGATTCAAATTCATTTCCAACGATCTTTATGAAAATGCATGTGAGATGTGATTCACACTTATTGCAGAATCCAAGCTTCCCGTGGAAAGATTCGGGCTAAAGTTTTTTGATTAAACTCTTAAGTTTCGTCAGATTGGGGGAATGTCGTAAATATGCTGAAAAGGAATATATAAAAATCTTCAATGTTCGACGTTTCGTAACAATAATCCATAACCTGAAAAACTGAACAGAAGTGCCTACTCATTAATTGTCCCTTAATAATCAGCTTTGTGACACTGTGCCATGCCACGGAAATATTTCTATTCTTCTTTTTGTGTCAAGCGCCTTTGTTCGTTTCTATCCCTTGGGGCTACGAGCAATTTTCGGCTTCTCGACCTCCATGATGAGCACCATAAAAGGACCCTAACATGTTGGCCTTGTTTACACACACACACACACACACACACACACGCACACATGCGCACACACACACTTATTCTTTTTATGTGAAATGTTGAAGCATTCGTCAATTGACCCTTGACTTTCTACAAAGGTGTCTGCTTGCCGAGAGGCGCTCGCTTGGACTTATTGCTTTCACTTTTTGCCCTGTCTGTGTTTTAGGACTTTGAATGATTGCATGCAATTGTTTGGCCTGTTAACTGCAGCCTTGCCCAGCCCAGCCTATCCTTGGCCCTTGCCCTTTAACTGAACGAGCCAGCCCGGGGCCGAACGGAAGCGGCTGCCACTGCCAAATGTGCAACTCTTGTGTGGCACATGCAGCAGACGTTGTGGGTACGTGCCCTAAGTTGATTATGTTGCGCCTGTCTGACATTTGGTTATTAAATTATTAAATGTTGTTTTGTGTTTGGCAATTTTAATTCAATTAAAATTGCCGCAGCTAACAAATTGTTGGCTGCTTTTTAAAATAATTACTATGGAATGCCTTTCTATGCGCTGTACCAATTGAAAATGGAAAAAAAGGGGTATACTGTATTTGTGCAAATGTATGTAACAGGCAGAAGTAAGCAGCTCCGACCATAAAAACTGTGTCTATATTCTTGTTCAGCATCAACAGACGTGTCGATTTTAAAACTTAAAATAGCTAGAGAATCTTAAACGTAACGTCCCCTAGCGCCTTGCCCGGTATAAGTTTTATTCCGATCATCGATAACTTGCACCGTTTCCAAGCAATCGATAAATATATTTATCGAAATTCTGTTTTATGAGCAAATCTCTTTGGTTTTAATGTCTAGAGTCATCAAACTTGGCATTCAGCTTCTCGAAAAGTATATGTAGATCGATTATCTTTCATTTTATATCTAACCCCCTTCCCTTCCAGCTGCATTTGGCAGGTTTAGGGTAACTTCTAGTCGCGCATGCCGTCTAGAGCATTTCTATTTGTTTTTGATGGAATTTTCAGCGCACATTTTAATATTTTCATGCTGCGCATTAATATAATATATATAATGCAAATGGAGCGAAAGCCGACTCCATGAAGTATATCAAATGTGTATTCTGTATATTTTGTATGTATCTAAGGGCCAAACAAGCTGTGAAAAAATATATTTAAAATTGAACAGCATCGATTTACACGTCGATTGAGCTAAAGTTTCACATATCTCTCAGTCCAGCTGCTTGTCTGCCTCTATAAACGCGTCAGACACAGAGAAATTTGAGCCATGAACACAAAATTTTGGCATGTGCGCAGATTTGCATATCATATTTTAATTTTGTGCTTTAATGAGAGTTTTCTTCTACATTTTCCAGCAATTGTGGAGGCGAGTTTTCGTGAGTGAATTTTCTATTGATTTAATTTTCACATTTAAGCACAAGTAATTGTCCAATTTGTAGCGACAAACCAATCGAAAAACACTTGCGCAAATTGCGTATACGCCGCGTGAACAGCTGTGCAAAGCATTTAATTAATTGTGTTTAATTGGATTTAATCACCAGACACTAGTTGAAGTAGTTCGTTAAGTCGTCTATTTCAACCAAACTAGTACAGATATCAGGCACATTTATCAGTTGCTCGTGTGGAATGCATTTCCCTCTTTTCACAACTCATTTCCCTGTTAGTAATTTTGTGGCTCAGCTGCCATGACCACGAGGGCACACATTATTATGGCTTATATATGGCTGCCATATAAATACATATATATATATATATATATACAGCACATATTTGTCATCGGTATTTGGTATGCATTAAATGTGTGTGTGTGTGTGTGTGTGTGTGTGTGTGGGAGTATGTGGCACGCATTCTTAAGCAGTGAAAGGCAAATCCGTGTCGCAATCCGCTTGCGACCTTCTGTTGAGGCAAACGTTGCGTATACGCAATTTGTGCATGTAAATTCATGCGTTCGCTTTGCTTTTCATTATCAATGCCAATGCTGAATGCTGACTCTTATTGCTGTGTGCGGCTCTTTCTATCTGTATGTGTGTGTGTGTGTGTGTGTGTGTGTGTGTAACTGCAAAAACTGTCACGCATAGCCTCAATGTGCTCGTCTTTGTAGTCGTATCTGTAAGATACTTAGCGGTTTGGCAGCTGTTTGAGCACTTGCAGCCATTAAATCGCCTAATGGGGCGAATGCGTTGTACGACAATGGCTATATATAACTGAACAGCATTGTAAAGCTGTTGCAATGAATGCATGTCAGGCTGTTCAGCTTGAGATTCTTATAGCCAATTCGATGCGCCTGCACGATTTTCACATGAATGTTGACCAAAAATAATGTTTCCAGATTGACCGAGAGGTCAAACCATGCACAAAAAGCCAAACATCGGGAAAATCGAATGAGATTTGACCGAATTATGGGTTTGCAAAATTTTGACCTATATCTATATAGGATATTTGAGGGTACCATTTTCACTGGAATTTTGACAAAAAATTATGTTGCCAGATTTTGGTGCCGAATTGATCTAGAGGTCAACTCATGAGCAAAAATCCAAACCTTATTAAAATCGGTTCAGATTTGACCGAGTGCTGGAGGTGAGAAATTTTGACCGAGTTCTGGGAGTGAGAATTTCAGCTTGTTAGCTCTTAGGTGTGATTGATCGCCAATCAGTCAGACAGTCAGGGTAAATACTAAATATATAGAGATAATACATTGAATAAGCATATATCTTGATTTGATTTTCAAAAAAGTTGTTGAATAAATCCGGCTCATATTAAGTTAAGATTGTGGCATAAATTAACAGCCACATTTAACATGTAGTTAAAGCACAAGGCACAGCAATTTGTTTTCCAGCACATTTATTAACTGGAAGTCGCTTTTATATGTATTTCGTAGAGCATTTACTATTCGTTGCAGTTCACTTATTATTTTTGTATACTCTTTCTCTTATCGCTTCCATTTATGTGCTTGTCGATTCGATTATTAAATCTGACAACAAAAAATACACGTAATGCAATTTTATTGAGCGAGAGAAATTTACATGCATTTTGTCAGAGTATGGGCTATAAAGTGTGCACTTGTGTGTGTGTGTGTGTGTCTGTGTGTGTGTGTATGTGTGTGTGTGTGTGTGTGTGTGTGTGTGTGTGTGTGTGTGTGTGTGTTTGTATGTGTGCCTTTGTCTTATCTTGTCTCTCACATCTGCAGATTGCGTTGTCATTTTCGTTTTCGTTTTGAGTGCTTCTCTTGCACACGCTTTCTCTCTCTCTCTCTCTCTCTCTCTCTCTGTCTCTGTCTCACGCTAGACTGTTTTGCTTATCTTTGTTTTTATTTCTGATGCATTCATTCAAATATGTAATTGAATTTGAGTGAAATTTAACTTTGTATTCAGCAATATTTTTTTTTTTTTGGCCCACAATTTGCATTTCAGTGTCGACGCTCGAGGCGCGACGCTCGCGTCAGTTTGTGAACGTGAACGAAAAATAAATACAAATTAAATATATATAAAACAGAATACATTTTAAAATTTGTTTATTATACTACATAGTATTCTTTGCGCGCGCGTTTTTATTTTTAGTTGTGCTTTGCAAATTTTGTGTTTTGTTTATTTCAATTTGGTCTTGAACAATTTGTGATTTGATTTGTTGTTGCTGTTGTTGCGCGAAATGCGTCTACGTAGCTGTAAATATGCGACAATTGTGTTGTAAGTTGTTCGTATGCAACTTTGTTCAAAGCCATGCAACAAATTCTTTTCACCCGACTCTGTGCAGCGGCCGCAGGATGAGCTACAACAGAAACAGCAACAATGACAGCGGCGGCGGCGGAGGCGGCGACGTTGGGAGTGGCATGGGCGCAGCTAATGCTGCAACAGCTGCAACAGCTGCTACTGGAGCAACGGCCACAACACCAACAACAACAACAACAACAACAGCAACTGCTGCAGCTGCAACTGCAACAGGCGCATGTGGCGCCAATTCAAGTTCAAGTCGACGCTTGGTTCACTTGACGGGCGGCAATCGTGGAGCAGCCATGGGCAATGTTGTTGGCTGGCTGAAGCAGGTTTCTGTTAACCCAAACACACACACTTATTTGCTTGGCCAACATGAACAGTACCTGTATCTGTACCCGTGCCTGTACCTGTATTATATATATGTATATTTTATGTGTGTGTCTTGTTGCACTTCCACTAGTCCAGACTTTAAGTACTCTCTCCCTCTCGCTGAGCTAAGCACAGCAGCTCTCAGCTCTAATTACTACACTAAAACAATACTCTCACAACTCTCACTAATCACACACACACACACACACACACACACACCGACACGCCCACACTCAAGCACTCTGTGTTGTAACGTTATCCTGCACCAACTAATTTGAAATGCAAGCGCACTCCAACCCCAACTCCCCCCACCCCACCCGTTGTACACGTCCTGGCACTCGTTTCCCTTTCATTTATTTATTTGAAACGCTTTGCTGGAGCATTTTATGGTTCCATGGAATGGATACACATCTCCAGCAGCAAAACACATTCCAATTGCATATTGAAAATGAATAAAAATGCTAGAGAATGTTTAAGAAGAAAAGTAATTTTAATAATTTATGATTTCGTTTAAGTCAATTCATTTTTGGAAAAAATTTATTGCACAAATATTTTATGTATTTATATTAATATTATGTTTTCAGTTGTACATTTTCTACACATTCATTAATAAATAAAATATATATAAAATATAAAAATTAAATTTTAAATTGATTATAATCTTATTATTTAAAATTTTTGTTATTCATATTAATTTATGTATATCTTTAAGTATTTTTAATTTAGCTTTCAAACATTATTAAACGTATTAAATAGTTTATTTTAATTATAGTTTATATTAATTACGTTTAAAAAAAAGTTATTTTTCTTATACCGATTTTTTCCGACAAATTTATTTATTATTAATTATTTTGGCAAGGTTGAAGTTATTCTAGTTTTTCCTTTAACTGATAAGCTTTATTTAACATTTTTTTCTCTACTTTTTTTTTGTGGAATTCTTCCTTGAATATTTTCATTCCAATTCATTTTCAATTTCTTAAGGAATTCTATTCTTTAGAAAGCGTTTTATTTATTTTCTTGTAGCTGATTCGATTTATAAGAAGTTCCCTATAAAATATTAGAAATCTTTTTCAATATAAATACATTTATAAGTATTTTAACTGGGAATTTTTACAAATTTCTTTAAATTCGTCACCCTCATGGATCTCTTTTGGGTTTTTAAGTTTTTGTGAATCCACTTAGTTTTATCTGATGGCTTTTTTAATATTATTTGTTTTTCGTAGGAGCTAACTAATTTTTGTTATTCGGAACTATTTCATCTTGGAGCTTTTTTCATGTTAACCTACTTGACGCGCCACACAATCCTTATAAAAGCCGCCTATGTATGTATTAACTATAATCCCGAACAGTTCAAATTCCCAAACTGAGCTCTCCTTTGTTGTTGTTGTCAGTCGATGTTGTGTGCTCGTCGTCAGTTTTATTTGGTGTTAGATGCGAGATGTATTGTTGCTTATGTACATGACACTCTATAATTTGCAGGCTTCCATTGAGGTGCGAGACGCTGGCACCCGGACGCTGTCCATGCTGCAGAGCACCAATCCGAATTTTCGCTCTCTGGACTTGTCGCTGACGCCAACGGTGTCTGTGGCCGCCTCATCGGGCAGTGTGCCGACGACGACAAGTGCGGAGGGTTCGCTGAGTGGCTCCACAAACTTGGCTGGCATTGTCCAGGATACAGAGGATACCTGCGATACCAAATTGCTGACAAGGACACGTGCGTACGCGTCCGTTAGCCAACCGCAGAGTCCGCGGCATCGCGTGCGTGGCACACCCAACGGCCTGAACGGGCGATCCACATCGATATCATCGCAGCTGGAGAAGACCAAAAAGCTGCTCAAGATGACCGAGGGCGAGGACAAGCCGTTGACTATTTTGCACTACAACGATGTCTACAATATCGAGTCCATGGCCGAAACGGAGCCAATTGGCGGCGCTGCGCGCTTTGCCACAGCCATCAAGAGCTATGCGCATCTAAATCCCCTTGTTCTCTTCAGCGGTGATGCCTTCTCACCCAGCATGTGTAAGTAGTGCTTTAATCTATAATCAACTATCAGCTATTTATAGTTTTATATACTTATATCTTTCATCCCTCACAGTGAGCACCTTTACGCAGGGCGAGCAAATGATACCTGTGCTCAATCAAGTGGGCACACACTGCGCTGTCTTTGGCAATCATGACTTTGGTGAGTCTAAAAAAAGATTCAGATATTGTTAAGTGACACGTATTAATATGCTTTACAGCTGATAAACAGCAGAAATTTAAAGACAATGTTAAAGAAAACAAAAATGTTATTTTAAAACATGTAATGTGTCTGTTAAGGATACTGAAAGTATAGTCCGTTAAAAAGAAGTGTAGTATACATTAAATCAACATTTTGTTGTTAAAAGGTTATTTAACACATGCTATTTTATTGTTAACTTAAAGTTAAAAGCATCTTCCAATGGTTTAATTTCCACGCTATGTAATATCCCAGGAAATGTTAATGTTATTCATAACATTCTGTTGTCAGAGTATGTTAATATACTATGTAGAAAATAATGGAATATTATGTAGAAACTAATGGAAGAATATCGGGCTTTATTATTTAATTTCCATAAAGAAGTTTACATATTTTAATAAATGTTAATGCTTCTGAATTATAAAAATGTTTGATAGTGTATAATTAATAATTTCCAATTCGCATTAGATCACGGCCTGGATGTGTTGGTCAAGTTGATTAAACAAACGGATTTCCCCTGGCTAATGTCGAATGTGGTTGACAACGAAACTGGTCGCCCGCTGGGCGGTGGCAAAATCTCCCATTTTATTTTACACAATCAAATCTCGATTGGGCTAATTGGGCTTGTGGAGCGTGAATGGCTCGAGACCCTGCCCACCATCGATCCCACCGAAGTCACCTACATAGACTATGTGGAGGCTGGCAATCGTCTCGCCCGGGAGCTGCGCAACGAGGGCTGCGATCTGATCATTGCTTTGACGCACATGCGCACGCCCAACGACATCAATCTGGCCGAGAAATGCGATGGCATTGACATAATCCTTGGTGGACACGATCATGTGCGCGAGGTGACCGAAATCAATGGCAAAATGATTGTCAAATCGGGCACAGATTTCCAACAATTCTCCGTCATAACCATCGAGCGACAGGCCAACAATCGCGCACTCTTCACCACGGATGTCCAGTGCATGGATGTGACGGCCAAAATACCAGAGGATCCCGTGCTAAAACAGGAACTATCCAAATATGCCAGTAAGTAGATTCTTGCAGTACTGAGTCATAATTAAGAGCAGGCTATAAAACAGGATAAAGTGTAGAGAAGCTCAACAGATGCTGGGAATTTCTTTGGAACCACAGAATTGTTTTGGTATCTGCTTTCAATTAGTCAGGGACATACCTTTAAAAGCAATTAAATAAGGGAAAGTTTTAGATTGGAAAACTAATTGGGATATTAACTAGTTACAGCTAAATTAATCTATTATTTCCCAAGCATTTCTGTTTTACTCAGTTAATCTACTCTGCAGCAATAGAACAGTTGTTTGTAAACTCTTAAATATTTACTAATTTATGTTTTTGCACTTTTACAGAATTCATTGAGAGCAAATTATCGGATGTCATGGGCATATTTGGCGTCGAGCTCGATGGCCGCTTCTCGCGTGTGCGCACCCAGGAAACCAATCTGGGCAATTGGGTGTGTGATGTCGTCTTGGCAGCTGTTGGCGCCGATGTGGTTATACTGAATGGCGGCACCTTTCGCTCGGATCGCATACATCCCGTTGGTCCGTTTACAATGGGTGATCTGGTCAATGTTATACCCATGCGCGATCCATTGATACTGCTCGAGGTGACGGGACGTGTGCTGTGGCAGGCGCTGGAGAACGGCGTGTCCGCCTATCCCAAGCTGGAGGGTCGTTTTCCCCAGGTGGCTGGCATTAGTTTTGCCTTCGACCCGCAGGCTGCGCCCTTCCAACGCATCGATCCCCAGCTGATACAGGTGGGCGATGAGTATCTAAATCTGGAGCAAACCTACAAGCTGTGCGTCAAAAGCTACATATACATGGGCTGCGATGGCTATACCATGTTCAAGGACTCCAAAGTGCTGGTGAGTCTCCGTGCAAATGCCTTTAAAATATATATACCATAAAGCTTGTGATCTTAACTTATCCAGATGGATGACGATGCCTGTCCGGAGCTGGGCATCACGCTGCAGAATCATTTCAAGGCCATCAATTCGCGCAAATGTGGCCAGAACACAAAGCATAGACAGTCGCTGGTCACGCTATCGCGTCGGCATAGCCTGGTGCAATGTCTGGACAGTCTGGATCTGGATGGTCCATCGCCCATACGCAAGCTGTCGGTGGGTCATCACAACAAGTCCCTGGACCTGTCGCATGGCAACTCTCAGAAGGTAAAGGACATTCACCACATAATCGATAGCTGGGCTAATAATTAATCTTAATCCTTGACAGATGCTGCGTCGCGCTTCGCTGGACGATCTGGAGCAGTCCACATGCGATTTGGCGCCACAGCTGGAGCATCGCATTGTTATGATACAAAACGAGGAGGTGAGTCGATCACACAGTAATATATATTTAAATATGTATTTATGTATTTACCTACGTCTTTCTTCTCTCATGTGCCCAGCATCATCGTCAGCTGGTGTTCAAGAAGGAGACGCACATTATGAACTCAACCATAACCGAGGCGGAGGACGAGTAAAGTTCTTTGTATTCATTTGTTTTCGTGCATTTAGTTTTAATTTTCTTTTAGTTTCTTCGTTCTTATTTTGTTATCTTCTTCTTTTGTTACAAACTTGAAAAGAGCTGTAGGGCAATTGCCGATTCGGAAAGACATATATGAGTTAGGATAATGCAGTTAGTTTAGTTATGCATCGATGGGAATCGTCTTGTTTAGATATATACGCTACGATATGTTATTTATTGCTGTTGTTATTATAAAAATTATTAATTTTCGCTTTAAGTTCCATCGATTCAAGACTTCTCTCGGCAAAAACTAAAACCAACGCGAACTTGATATTGATATTAATATTGTATGTACCTAAAGTTGAACATAAGTTTAGACAAATTGATAAATTAAGTTGATGAAAAGATGAATGTTTTTAATATACCTATTATTTATATACATCTATTATTTACAAGACAGCTTTAGGATTATTTAGAAAAGGAAACGAATAACAAAACGGGACTCGCAAACATTCAGAAAACTCTACTCGAGCCAGTTCACGAACAAAGGTTGTAGCAATATTTTAAATATATATTATAACTTTTATGTTCCCGTTCCCGGTCAAAACTTAGCTAGGTGTGCATGGGTCTCGGTTAGATCAGGCTATGATGCGTGAAGAAAGCAAGCAATATTTTAGAGAGCTGTGCATGTGTATAGAGTATTGTATGAGCGTATATATTATATTTTTATGGCAACTTTTGGAGCGCTATAATGCAACTGTTTGTAAACTGTTTGGAAAATAATGCAATCATTAACTATATGGTATATACACGAACGCGATTCTAACAAATAGTGCATGATCTACAAGATTTTTAAACAAGAAAGGGCGATCGTTCCTTTACTAAGCAACAACAAAAGGCAAACGTAGCATTCCTTACAAATTAATACTATAAATAAAACATAGCAAAAGCAGTGGCAGAATATTTTAAACAATTACAAATGCAATTGAATTGCCAACAAATATAAATAATATATGATATATATATATATATGTGTGTGTGTGTGTGTGTGTGTGTGTGTGTGTATGTGTGTGTGTGTGGGTGGGTGTGTGTATGTAAATTGCAGCAACAGACCAAGCAAATTCAATTACATAAAGTTAAACAATAGAACGGACAACAGCTGTTGAAATAGTTTCGTCAAGATATGCATAATAAATGTCCATGCTTTAAATACAAAGTTAACTAAATGTACAATATAGTATATACACATATATATAACTCAATATAAATACATAAATAGTGTATCAACAGCAGCAATAGACACTTAAGTATATTTCGTTTGTTTCCGCATTTACCTACAAGGTCTTTACCAATTTTCTACATTAATTTTTCGCATTTTCCTATTGTTTCTCTCCTTGATTCTAACAATTAAACGAGCTCAACTATTTTACCTTCGGTATTAAAAGAAATAACTATTCCATTCCATATGCGATTAAGCATATTGGAACATATTGCTTTATGTAAAACATTTATTAATACAAATAAAAAATATATTGCTTCATTTGGCAAACAAATTTCGGTTTCGTTAAGGGGAAGCACTTGCGTTAGACTATTGGGGGCCGGTAGTTTCTTTAGGGTTAATACTAGCTTAAATGCCTTGAAACACTTTGGAGAACTTAAGGACTACTAATCAAAATGTGTTGTTTGCATTGTATCCCATTCAATAGAACTGCAGCACCAGAGTCTTGATCGCGCTGGCTATATGAAAGGCGCAATCGCGCACCTCCAGCGTATTCTTCTGTATGGCCTGCTTATCGTCGGCCTCAATGGATTTCTGCAGATTCTCGCATTCGTGCTGGATGAGTATATTCTTGCGTGTCAGCTGCTTGAGAGTCTCGCGTGTCGTTTCGCTAGCATTCGGCGGCTGTGGATAGTCAAATGGGTAAGTTTAGTTTAGTTTCCAAATTGATAGACCCTGTCCCCAACTCACTAAATTGGCATAGAGAGCTATTAGATCTGTGACAGCGCTGCGTATGCGTTCGCCATGCGGTGCTATCGATTGCTTATCGGCCTCTGTAGCCGGATGCATGGCCTGTATGAGCTCCTTTAGGCAGCGTGTTACCAAATCTGAGCGTAATTTGACCTCCTCACCGAAGGTTTTGCCATCGCCAGCCATTTGATACATGCTGGTCGTGTTGCGCACATCGTTGTTGCCCTTGGCCAAATTATTGGCCAAACGGCGCTCATACATGCTGGCAGGTCGTTTGATAGTCGACTGATTCGACGAGCCGTTGGACGAGGTGGTGTCCGCAGCAGCGCCTGCGCCCTCTGGCAGCGACAGCGGCTCGTGCTCCGAGTCGGGGCTGTTGAGACTCAAATCAATGCGACTAACGTATAAAATAAAATCATATAAAACAATAAAAACCAATATAAATAAATGAAAAACTAGCTCACAGTGGCTCATCGTAGACGCTGTTGTTCGAGGCGCTGTTGACTTTGAATTTCAGCTGCGAGTTCTCGCTGGACAACTGCTGCACCACATTCTTCAGCTGATTGATCTCGCTTTTGTATTCGTTGATCTGCTTGCGCAGTGTTTCCATTTCGTTCTGCGAGTTCGCGTTGCGCGGCGGTGTGTGCACAATGGCCTGCATATATAATAAATAAAATAAAATAAACAAAATAAGTAAACAAAATAACCAAACTTAAAACTACAAACAAACTTCAAACAATGGATGGTTCGATGGCAGTTAAACTACATTTTGTACATGAGCAACTAGTTTTATTTAATTAGTTACCTTTGACTAGAAAAGCTTACAACTAGTTTTCGAGCGCGAGTTAGCTAATTGATGAGGTTTATAATAAGTCTGTAGATATATGTGTGTGTGTATGGACTAGGCACTACATTGGGATCTCAGTCTAACCGAAGCTATTGTTCAGCTTGAGAATCTTTTGCCGCATTAAGTTTACCTGCTGCGCCATGGGCGGCACCGGCGCATAGTCATCATCGCTGGCCACCGGATCATAGATGGGCTCATCATCCGATAGATTCGGATCATGCACGCTCTGCTCAAAGGAGCTGCTGTACATGGTTGAATTGTGGCCATAGGGCAATAGCTGCAGCGACTGTGTTGGCAGCGGCGCATCCATCGGACGCAGATTGGCCATATTCTGGCGGCGCAGCGCATCGATGAGCACATCCGTTAGCAGTCCAGCAAATTCGGCGCGATTAAAACGTGCCAGCTTCTGGCGACCCTGTGGCAAGTTGAAACAACAATTAGTTCGTTTGTGGCAGGGTCAGCGACAAGCTGCAAACCTGATTGCGCGTGGCACTCAAAAATGGATTGGCCGGCAAAAATGGCACAGTTGCATGCTCCGCATTAAGCGTGCTGGTGGACCAAACTAAAGATATATAAAGATCATATTATTGACATAATTAGTTGCTAGCGGTTGCCTCTACTCACTGGCTTCGCACTCGCGACGATCGACCTCGTCGTACAAGTCCATGACAAGCTCCTCAAACATCTTGTTGGGCACCAGCTGCAGCTTGCCGCGTGCTATTTTCAATTGTTCGCTTATGTCAGCCCCGTTTGTCTCCGGTATGATCAAATGGCGACCGCTCTGGGGGAGTGCAAGAGCATTAGCTTAGGATTACATTTGTTATCGATAAGTCTTACAGCATGATCGGGCTTCTTGCCGCCCATAAACATAATGAGTCTATCGGTAACATCGTACATGGCATCCAGTAAACGCTCAGCTATGGTGCTATGATTGTTGGCCTTGGCCAGCTCCAACGGCGTCATGCCATTCCCATCCAATGCATTGACATCGGCGCCATAGATGAGCAGCATTTCGATTTGTGATGCCTGTCCGAATTTGGCAGCCATGTGCAGCGGCGTCGAGCACTTCTCCTCGTGATAGTAGTTTGGATCGGCGCCCTGCACCAGAAAACGCAATGAGGTCTCCAGATTGCTGGTGCGCACGCTGGCATGCAGCTGCCTGCTGAGCTCCTGTTCCAGGTTGCTGCCGCCGCCGCTGGAGTCGTCATCGTCCTGCAGGCTGGGCTTTAGCACAAAGTTAAGATTGACATGTTTGGCCTTAATAAAATCCGACTTGGTTGGATGCAGTGCATCCTTGGGCGTGGGCTTGCGCCAGCGTGGCACATGTTTGCCGACCGATGAATTCGTGCTGCCATCCAGCAGATGGTGCTCCCAGACGCTGTTGGCGCCGTGTGCGTTCAGCGAGTTGACAAAATTCAACACCGACGGCTCCCAGTTACCCTGCCGCAGCGACTTGACAATGGAAATGTGACGACCCAGGCTGCGATGCACCGAGCAACAGTCTGCGCAGAGCAGAATGCCCCGATTTATGGATGCCCAGGACGGATCTGGAGACAGCGAGAGAGAGACAGAGAGAGAGAGAGTTCAAAGCTGCGATGGCTTGGCATAGTCTATGCCCCTGGGACTCACCCGTTGCGCCACAGTCGCCGCAGACCTCAGTTTGCAGTCGGGATTTGCTGCGCGACATTTTGCGTCTGCTGCTGCTGTTGGCGGATGTGGGCGTGACGCTGTCTCTGTGCTCTCCTTCTGGCGCTATAAATAACTTCTTATGCGCTTCGATTATGCTGCTGGCGAAACACATTCATGCATTTTTCACCTAGACAAGCGATAAGAGAAAATTAATTCAACGCCAAACTCCAGTGACTCAGCGTAGTGAAAAAACTGTGGCGCGGCCTGTGCGCTGGCTGCTGTTAAACTGAGCGCATTAACAGCGCTAGGCCACAATCGAATCAATTATGCAAATTACTTTTAATTAAACGTAGCCGCCCAGTTGTTGCAGCACTTTTCCTACACAATCGTGGGTCAAAGTTTTTTCACTGCACGGCCAGACAACACAAGTGTACATACACTGTTTATTTATAAACAGCACAGTGTTGCCGAGTTGCAGCAATAAATGTTATATTTTGTTTATGTTGCTATAGCTTAATCAAAATTATGCTCCTAATGCTAACGGCTTACAAGTTTAACAATTGCATAATTTGGCTTTACTGTGCTCATACTTTTTTCTTTTTAATTTATTTTATTTATTTCCAGACCGCAGCAACACTTACGCGGCTTAACAGAGTCTGGCAACGCTCTGCGATGTACATACTGTTGTTGTCTCCCTTACACTGCCGCAACAGCTGTTAAAGCAACAGCTGACCGCTGTAGCGGCCACAGTTTGATGCATATTGTATACGCTGTATATGCACGTGCATTAATATACCAATAAAAATTGCGTTTTAAGTGTATAATAAATTGGCATGCAAGTGACAAATCTATATACTTCGGTGGCCTGCAATCGCACCACCGAATGCGCCGATTGGGGTCCCAGTGGCTTGATTGCTTATGGCGCATGCAATGCGGTTGCGGTGCTGGATCCTCGCGTAAGACAAACAAAAATTGAAGTTTACATTTCGTTGTTGTAAATAATTCTTTATTTTAGTACAATGGCAATTCAGCCAAGATATTGTTCACCCTGGTGGAGCACACAAAGCGCGTGAACGTAGTCAAATGGCTGGACGAGCATCAATTGCTTTCCGGTGCAGATGACGCCAACGCAGTTTTGTGGCAACTGGACAAAGCCGGCGCCAAAAAGCGCATTTTGCTCAAGGGACACGAAAGTGGGGTGAATACCGTGGATGGTGTGCGCCGGCCAAGCGGCGTGTGGTTGCTGGCCACCGCTGCGGCCGACAACAGCCTCAAGTTGTGGCATCTGCAGACAAATGGCGAAATCAGTTGCTTTCAAACTGTGCAGCTGAATGGCGGCTTCTGTTTAACTTTACGCCTCACCCTACTGCCCAAATGCGATCAAGTGCTGCTGGCCTTCAGTGCCGACGACGAAACTGTCGCCCTGTGGTCGGAACAGTCCGCCGGCAGTGGCGATGCCAGCGCGGGTCAGTTTAAGCAGGTCCACAAGCTGACTGGCCACGAGGATTGGGTACGTGGCCTGGACTTTGTCTACGATGAGGATGATTTACTGTTGGCCAGCGGCTCGCAGGATAACTTTATACGTCTCTGGCGCATCGAAGCGCGCACTGAGCTGCATACGTCTAAGAGCTCCGTGGATGATGCGAACATTAATGCTGTGGACAGCAGCGAGTTGCGCGTCGAGGAGAAGATTTTGCAGCTGGGCGAACAGGCGTGGTATGCAGTTACACTGGAATCAGTGCTATATGGCCACGAAGGTTGGATCTATGGCGTGCACTGGCACAAGAACGAACAGCAAGGTATGTAGCTGCATTTTTTGCCGAATTCCCTAATATTAAATCGCTTCTCTTTCAGAACTACGTCTGCTATCCGCCTCCATTGACAAAACCCTAATTGTCTGGGCGCCCACAGAGATGGGCGTGTGGCTGGAACAGGTGCGCGTCGGCGAAGTTGGCGGCAATTCCATGGGCTTTTTCGGTGGCAAATTCGCACACGACGGTCGCTCAATTATGGCGCACAGCTACCAGGGCGGCTTTCACATATGGAATCAGAGCCAGGAACAGTCCCAGCTCTGGACGTCCAATGTGATTGTGGGCGGCCATTATGGCCAAGTGCGCGATTTGGCCTGGGAGCATGAGGGCGCATATTTGATGACTGTCTCTGCGGATCAAACGACACGTCTGCATGCACCCTGGCTGCAGGCGGGCAAATCGCCCACCTGGCACGAACTGGCGCGTCCCCAGGTGCACGGCTACGATATGCAGACGCTGGCGCTGCTCTCACGCTATAAATTCGCCAGCGGCGCGGAGGAGAAAATAGTACGCACATTCCAAGCGCCAGCGAATTTCATAGAGAACTTTCGACACATCAGCGGACTCCAAAATGATGCAGCAGGCGACGCTCTGCTGGACTGTAAGTACCTACAATATTTTATTACTAGCTGGTATTTAAGATACTCTGGGATAGATAGTTGAAAGAGCCTTTAGAAAAATGTCCCTTTATAGAAAACCATTTATTGCATTCAGATTCCGTTGCTCTGTTCTTTTCCACTTATATTTCACACAAGCGTGTGTGTGAGAACAAATTCGTAATTTTGTACAAATTCGTAAACTAGAAGTTTTTGTTTACTTTGCTGTTAAAAAGTTGGGAAGTATGTCTATTGTTGGATGATAAATGAGATTGAAAGATTATGGAAAAATTATTGTTAAGCGACATGGAGAATATTCGAGCTTTTCATTTATATGAAATTGACTACGCTGAACAAAATGATTATGCAGGACATGCTGCGAATTAAAGGAGCATAAAAAGAGCTTAGGCAAATAAGGAACCATGGAGGACAATGGAGATTTAAAAAGGAGAATGATTGGATAACGTTGGATAAATGGATGACAAATAGGATTAAATATGAAGATAATTCAAAAGTCACCGATAAGGAAATATAAACGAAAGACAAGTCGAAAATAAGGAACTGGGATGGGATATCTCGCAACGCCATAAAGGAGATACAGGGAATACGTATTAATCAAGCGCAACATATAGTTATATTATACCCTAAAAAAAAAGGAAGGAGCAAGATTTAGGCCCGTAAGACTAGACTATGTTACTTCAATGAGGCTGAGCTGCCTGTTGTTCCAGTAGAAAGTCTCGCGAGGAATGGGAGAACACTTTGGAAATTCATTTAATTATGCTTATTATGCTCTGAACCATCAGCTCTGCCCAAAGGCGCTTCGGTTCCATCGCTGGGACTGTCCAACAAGGCCGTGTACAATGTGGAAACAGCTGCTGATAAGAGCTCGACAGCCAAGGATGAGTATCCGGACAACTATTTTGTGCCCATAACACTACAAACGCCGCCACAGGAGGAGACACTGATGCAGAACACATTATGGCCGGAATTGCAAAAGCTGTACGGACACGGCTATGAGCTCTATGCGCTGGCAGCCACGCCCGACGGCCAGATGCTGGCATCCACTTGTCGCGCCAGCAATGCGGAGCATGCTCAGATTATACTCTGGTGAGTGGGTTCGATCGCCAACTGCTGGCCGATTGAGGTATATGTGCTTACATGGGTGGAATCTTGCAGGAATACGACCAACTGGAAGCAGCTGCAGAAGCTGCCCGGTCATCAGTTGACCGTGACACAGTTACGTTTCTCGCCGGATGCGCGTTACTTGCTCTCCGTTTCTCGTGATCGACGCTGGTCCCTGTACGAGCGCGAACAGCCCGAGGAGCCGCTCAGCAGCTATGCGCTGGTGGCCAACACGGACAAGACAAACGGAGTTCATACGCGCATCATTTGGTCCTGTGACTGGTCGCACGATGGCAAATACTTTGCGACGAGCTCGCGCGATGGCAAAGTCGTCGCCTGGACACGGGCAGAGCAGCGAGAGGCGACAGGTTCCCTGAATGGCTGGCAAGCAGCTGGCACGCTGGAACTAAAGAATGAGTCTATAACAGCTGTAAGCTTTGCGCCGCACTATCTGAATGGCCAGAACGGGGTCTATGTGCTGGCGCTGGGCACAGAGAGCGGCATCATAAAGATATATCGATTCAACAGGGGACAATGGCAGCTGAGCTGCGATCTAAACAACGAGTGAGTGCTGGCAATTCTGGAAAGTAACCAATTCTCAATTAACATATATATATATATATATGTGTGTATATATATCATTTGCAGTTGTGCACATCACCTGACAGTGAGGCGTTTGCAGTTCCGACCGGGTCAGGAGCTGCAGTTGGCCAGCTGTGGCGATGATCATTTGGTGCGAATCTACGATATTTCGTTAACATAAAATACAACTCGGGTTCATTCATTAAACAGTCAACAAGTCAATTATTTGTTGTTGTTGTTGTTCGTATTAGTTTTCAAAGTTTAATTAGACTTTTGTTAGAATCAGACGGTTTCCCCCAGTCTATATCTTATCTAAGCACATGTAATTGGCCTTGTTTCGCTTGGTTGCACCAGTTCAATGAGTTCATTACTGTCTGTTTCTGGTGTTTTCGCGCGCTGATAACACGGCATATTGAACTCCTAATTAACTGGTTAGAAATTTATTGCACTCCCTTTGGACTATTTAAGTGACACTGCAGTCACACTCAAATCATAGTCTTGTCCAAGCCGTCGTCCCGAAATGAAAGCCGCTATTATTATAACCTTGATTGCTCTGGTGGGCAGCAGTGTTGCCCTCAGTATCGAACGTGCCGGTCCGCCTGTCCGGGTTAAGCCAGCTGCCGCTCCATTTGATGCCAGCAAGTATGATCACATCGTGGCCGAGGTGCGTCCGGCGGGTCAGAAGACCTTGGTGGTCATCGAGCCCCATCATCCCGATGCATCCTATGCTCAGAACGAGCGGCCACAGCAACAGCAGGTTGACATTCAGATCAAGCAGAAACAGCCGGAGCAACAGAAGAACCAGCATGTTGAGCTTGACATCAAGCATCAGCATTCGAACCTGGTGTCAGATCATATGGATGCCGGGTTCAGTCATCAGCAGTCGGAGCCCCACCATCATGTCCAGCTCGATATCAAGAAACAGGAGCAGAGGCCACAGCATGTTGAAGTTGAGATCAAGCAGCAGGACCAGAAGCAACAGCATGTCGAGATTGAATTCAAACAGAATCAGCAGCAGCAGCAGGATCCCCAACATTTTAATGTCGAAATCAATCAGCAGCCGAGGCCACAGCACGTAGAGATCGAGATCAAGCAGCAGCAGCAGCAGCAGCCGCAGAATCCCCAACACATCGAGTTCGATATTAAGCACACCCAGTCCAGGCCACATCACATGGAACTGGAACTGGTGCAGCCGCACAAGGAGCAAGCCGAATCGCAGCATGTGCAATTGATGCTTTAAGCGCTGGGCAGAATGCCATAAATTATATATACCCAAACATATAGACATATAAAAGCTTCTATATATATATATAATTACTTAGATATATATATATATATATATCTATATTATATATCTATAATTATGAGAGCGCAATTTTCTTTTTAGTGCATGTTAAGAATTGTGCACCGCACGCGCTGCAGCCCCGCGGCGTGCCGGCCGCAGTTTGCAATTTCCGCTCCGTTGGAAAATTTAGTGAAAAGCTGTGAAAACTGTGAACACTGTGAGAACGCCTGCATACTTATGGGCGTCGTTCGCTTAGCCACGTGCCATTGCTGACCGCAACTTGCAATTTCCGTGCAGCAAGTGACTTTATGATTGCCTTGCCTTTTGCTAGCATCAACTCTGCTGCCCTCTGCTGCTGCCCTCTGCTGCTGCCCTCTGCTGCCTTTGTTCAACAGCTATGCGACGCGGTTAATTGGCTTTGGCTAACGGCAATTGCCTCTTGCATCTTTCTTTGACACTTTAATTATGTTTCGCTGCATTCTCACAGCTACCAGCTGCTGGCCAAAGTCGTTGAACTCGTCCGCCCCAAACGGATAAAACGCTCGCGCATTGTTGTTCGCCAGAATCTCGCACAATGGCCAGGCCCAAAAGTTAACCTATTGAATTGCATTTAGGCCACTTGTCTGTACAATACAACATTTGTATTCCGCTTATTTTATTTATTTTTTTTTCGGATTCACTCTTTTTTTTTTATTTTTCTGCAGCTGCTGCCAAACAATAGCCCTGAGCCGCCATTGCTATGGCGCAACATGCGTTTCCGTTTCCGCTGAAAGTTGCATAAAACTTTTGTTTAACTTGCATTGTAGTTTAACGTATATTTTTTTTGCTTGATTCCACATTTGTTATTGCTGCCTGTCGTGTTGTTTTTTTTTTTAGTTCTTCTGCCTTTTCTTTTCTGATCTCGTTGTTGTTTTTTTGTTATTTGGGTGCAAATTTTTGCATTTCATAAGTTTCAATTGCGCACAAGTTGCTGACAGCAGCAGCACCAGCAGCAGCAGCAGCCACACGGAACTCGTTGCCGATCCCCGTCGAGCTGTTGGCCATAACATGTGTAAACAGGCCAAACCAAAAAAAAAAAAAAAAAGGAACCTTTCTCTGTGCCATCTACCAGCAGCATCCGACAGCATTCATATGTGTGTCAGTAGTCGACTGTGCAGTGGCTGCGCTTTTCCTCTACTTTCCATACTTTTTGTTTGACTTTCAGTGAATGCCCAACCCCATTATACCCTAACATTATCAGCTTGTTTGTCGACGGGCATAGTACCAAGCATTTTCTGTCGTTCAATTATTGAAGAAGTTAAGGGATTAAAGATTGGCCTTCCCTTTAGTTAATTCAGCATTTGTTTTTTCAAAATTCACACTAATAACATAATTCAGATTGTTATATTGGGGACTACGTAAAAATCACTTAAAGCATATATAATACTTTCTGTAATACTTGAGAATCGAATAGAACGGTAATATTTAAGAGAGATCGGTGTGGTTCAGCATAAATGAAATATGAGCGTGAGTGCATAAAGTAAGCTGGCATTAAGGACCAAGCAGAAAAAAACAGATCGATTACTAAAGAGAAAGAAAGATGGAGAGACCGGGATGTCGAAAGAATGGAGAGAGAGAGGAAAGTAAACGAGAAAAAGAAAGAGAGAGAGAGAGACATATGTGTAGGGAGATGGATAAATATTATTAAAACAGGTTTTACAAATAAAGCTATTGCTTGAGTTCAAGAAAATCGCATAGAAGGGCAGAGAGAGAGAGAGAGAGAGAGAGAGAGAGAGAAGACATGAATAACATAGAATACCTTTAGAATAGTCACTTCTCGATGTTAGACGACAGTTTTAGCAGTTATTGAATATTTGGTTACAACGAATATTATTCACATATTTAATATGTCCTCTTTTGCATGTTGCATTACAATCATGTGCGAAAAAAAAAAAAAAATCATTTAACAGGGTATCCCTTAGTCGTCCAGCCTGTATTGGCATAAATCTTATTGGTATTTTTGTTGTTGAAGGATTTTTGTTTGCTGCCAGCCGTTAGCGAGCTCGCATATTTCCGTTACGTTTGGCTGCGTGCAACAAAGAACGCGCTGCCCGTCCGTGATTTGTGCATTTCCGTATTTAGCATAGCGGAACGTGCGACCGTGCGACCGTGCGAACGTGCGTGATGTCCGGCTGCGGTGGCTGTATAACCCACTGGGCCTGGCCTGGCTTAGCCTGGCTGCACCCGGGCTTGGCCTCGCTCGGCCCATTCAGCCATGCCAATGGCCACGCATTCCCAATTGATGCGCTGTTGGCCTAGTTTTGCCGCGCGCCTAACGCGTAACTTAAAGCGACAATTGATTAAGTTAACAATTGGTGTTGGGCTAGTGAAAAAAAAAAAAGAGAAGAGTTGCAATCAAAACTTTTTTGGTTGTCTGCGAAGCCCAAAAGCAAAGTGTTCAAAGTTTTTCAATTACCTGACCGCTGGGCAACATCCGATTTCCTTCTGACCACCAAGTCGCTAGTCGAACAAATTTCAAAAATTTTCCTGTAGTTTTCTGTTTGTTCTAATAAAACAAGGCTAACAACAAGGCTAACAAGAAGCAAAGCCAACAACAACTGTGCCAGCCACAAAGCCAAACAGCGGCTTTTTGCGCGGCTGAGCAACAGGAGCGGCAAATTTAACAAGACAGCGAAAGTAGAAAGTGGCAAGTGGCAAGCGGCAAGTGGCAAGTGGCAAGTGGAGAGTGGCAAGTGCAAAGTTTCCTTCTGCCTTCAAAGTTATGAGTTTGCCTCTGCATGGCAAACGTTGTGGATTTTGATGATGATGAATATTGTAATATAAACTTCCAAGATGAGTTTATTAAATGCTTCTCATGGGCTTTTTCTATTACAGGTTTTCGCTGTTTTCCTCCCACTTAAAATTCTCATTAGATTCTTGCTAAAACCAAATAGATGCTGCTGTAATTAAGCGGAAATATTAACATATTATAAAGGCAACTGTGCCTGAATGAGCTATATGTTATATATTTTTCTTTTAAATAGGTATATGTGTTTCTTCATGTATATGTATTATTTATATGCAACATTTTAAATAATTTTTCGATAGTGAATAGTAGGGAAGAGGCTTTTTTCTGTCATAGATATCGCCTTTCTATGTGATTCTCATAAATTCAAACAGGGCTTACAAATTAAAGTTGGCTTCAAACATTTACTCTTTGCAAAATTTTATATTTTGGTGCATAAATTTCGACTGTGTCCGAAATTTGACACCGTTCACAAAAAGTTCGCCGCAGTTAGCTAAAGCATCCGGATGCAGAAGCAGAAGCTTTATATCCTTAAAATCCTTTGACTTTATAGCTTAATTCCCGTGGCTAACTGGCGTGCCTTAATTGTTTTCCAATTAGCGTGCTGCAAAAACTTTAAAGTTCATTAAGTTGCGCGGTTTTTTGTTGCACCAACGCCAGCAACAGCCAGGACGGCAACGTGGCGTATGATGAATTTTTAATTACGCGTGCTCAAAACACAAGCAAAAAACTGCTAGCAAATTGTAACTAGCAAAAAAAAAAAAAGAAAAAAAGAAAAAAAAAACAAGAAAAGAAAAGAAAAACAAATCAAACACGCAGAACGAATGTAATTTTTTTTTGCTGCTGCTGCTGCTGCTGCTTTATCTGTCTGTGCAAAGTAAACAGTGTCTGAAAAAAAAGTGGAAAAAGTGTTGTTGGCATAACTGCAACGGCGGCTTCAATTGTTGGCCAAATGCCAGCGGCCGAGAACTGAGCCACGTTAATTACAGAAAACAAATGGAGGTGTGGCAGGGGCGTGGCATGATGTTGCGTTTAGGCATGCGGCCAAAAATATATATATAAAAAATCTCACACACTTTTGCCATGCACTTGACAATGAATTGAAATGGAAACTGTTGAAGTCTCAATGACACTAGTTGAAAGTGGCCAAAGAGTGCGGCTATGAAAGCTGTTAACTAATATTGCGGTGTTTTATTCTCCGCAAGGTGTTCTTTTCAAAAAGCTTTTTGCAGTTTAAAAGCTTAATGAGTGCCTTATTTAATAACGGACATAGAGCTGCAGTACTTTTTTAAAGCTTTCTCTCTGAAGATTATAACAATTTTAGCATCATTTAATGACAAATTGTGTGGCTTTAAAAGCTAAAACTATAATTTGTGTTAGATTGTATTGTGAGACAAGCAACGAGTTTTCGTTAGGTTTGATTCTTTGCATGCTTTCACTGTTTGAAAGCTCTTTTAATTTGTATAATGCTTTTAGTGCAAGCTTTAAGCTTTTGGTAGATTTTAATTCAATTAAATGAGAGGAGAATACAATTTGTAGATGCAAGCAACTTTTTTAAAGCTTTTAGTCACTTTTAGGAAATTAATCTTAATTTAATGACACTATCTGAGGCTTAAGTTTTGTTTTATTTACGTTAAAATACTTTTAAAGCGTTTCCTGAGAATACCAAAGGAGTCTACTCCAAGCTTTCAGGGGCCTTTATGGGCTTAAGCATCAATTAAAGATAGAAGCTGTGAGTTTCCCAGCTATAAGTTCTCCTGTAAAATATAACTTAAACTACAAATTTAGCTTGAAGGTAACAGCTGCTTTCAAAGCTCTTAATTTGCAAGAATGGATCTCAACTAGTTTTCAGTTGCTTTTAAAGCTTCAACTCTAATCATTTGCCTTAAATTGAATTAAGTCAATGAATGCTTTTAGTTGCGTTTAAAGCACATGTGCAGCTAATCGAATTTGCCAGCAAACGTGTTCCAAATTCGTTAACGATGAATGTCATTGTCACTTAATAATAAAAACAATTATGTTTTTCAATTTATTGATTTTCGAAGCAGCACATTTTAAAGTGCCGCCGTTGAGCTTTACAATTGTATTGTAAATATTCCCATTAAATGCAGTTGTCATTCCAATTGTTGTTGTCGTTGTTGTTGCTGACATTGTCTTTGTTGTTGTTGTTGTTGTTGTTATTATTGTTGTGGGCGTGCACGCGATTTGATTGTTTTAAGCGCAAAATGCTTCACTCTGTGTTTGTTTATTTGTATAGTATTTTTTTTATTATAGTCTGATTGCAAATGTTGAACAAAAAAAAAAAGAAAAGACCGCAAATGCAAACGGCGTAAATCGCGCATTGTCAACATCAACATCATTATCATTATCATTAACAACATCATCATTTGGAGCCGCAGGTGGGGCGGGGGGCGTGTTGGCCATGTTGATGATATCAACCTCAGTGGTCAGCCGGCTTTCGAGCTGCTGATTTTTACGATGGCCATCACGTTGGGCCCGAAGCATTTTTCAACATTTACAATTTCCCTTATTGGTTGCATATTCGTTTCTTCATTTTCATTTTTCATTTTCCGTTTGGCTCGTTTTTTTTTATTTTTATTGTAAATGCATTTTCATGTCAAGCTGACGCATTAACTTCTGCTGCGCTTTAATATTCATATAAATATATATATATATATATTTGTATATATTCTTTTTTATTCGCTTGATATTGCAAAGGGAATTTGTTTTTTGTTCAAGCATTTGCCAAAAGCTAAGCTTGAGCGGAATTTCAAATACCGAGAAATTGTCATAAAATGCTTTCTTTGATACACAGCAAGTGGCATATATAAAATTTGTTAAATTCATTATTTTGCAGTTTCCTTGAGGAATTCATTGCTAATAATCCGTTTAAATTTAACAATAAAATGTTGCTCTACTTTGTTTCTAACTTCTCGTTGCATTTGACAATAAAAAGGTGTTTAACTTTAGGTCAATTCTAATGTTAAGTACAAGATTTTGTACGATTTGTACTTTAAGCTAATTTTAGTATTAGTATCACAACGGAGTATTCAGTTCATGCCATATATATATTATTAATTTAAATTTCATTCACCTTCTGAGAGAAAGTATTGTATATTTGACAGCCAGAAAATAAGTTATGCTAGAGTGAGATTAGGTCGAGCTCAAGTAACCGATATTAAGTTGGGTTATGCAATGTATTATAATTTGAATATAGTGAAAATCTGTTATATTTCTGAAATACGAAATCTGTTGACTCCAACAAATATGGCCATTTAGTTCTGATATGCAGTTGCTCGCATGTCAAATGCAGATAGTATTTACATGCGAATTGTTTGCACACATGGAACAAACAATATAAACTGTGCAATTTAAGCCGATATGAATAAATGCGGGCCGGGGCATTAGAATTAAATTATGCATACACCTGAGCTTAATATAAATGGCAGCAAACATTTTGGCAAGTAGTTTAGTTTAATGCCAAAATGACTGATAAATTTACTTAAATTGTTCTGCTGAGAGTCAAGAGAATTCTGTTGGCCATTGTCATTGATGTGGTTAGCCTGTTGCTTGTTATTGTTGTTGTTGTTGTTGTTGTTGCTGTTGTTGTTGCTGCTGATGGCCAACTACAAAGCGGGCTGAGATAAGCTGTCAGGCCCAGCGCTGGCGAACGCGGCGTATGCGTAATTTCATCAACTGGCACTTAAATCAACTTAGAGCTTGATGAAATTAGAAGCCATGGTCGGGCGGAAAGGTGGCTAGAGCGTGTTGGGTAGAGTACTTTAAATAACTTTAAGTTAATTTTGTGCATTTTCGATTCGCATGCCAAAGCTGCGGATGTGGAGCATGATAAATTCTTGTGCTCAACAACTAAGCAAGCCAGCTAGATAAGTGAGTGAATGTGTTTGTGTGTGTGTGTGTGTGTGCGTTAGAGTATGTGTACATTATGCTTTGGGGCTGGAAAAACTTTGAAGCCGCAACTTTGCGCGGCGACATTTCCTCTTGGGTCTTGACGCAAATTATGCGGCTGGCAAAACAGGCAGCAGGCAGCAGGCGGCACCTGCGACCCGCCAGTCGCTCTGCATCGTGGCTCCTGCATCCGTCCTCCTTTCTCAGACCACCCCCCCCCAACGCCCTCTTGTGCCTTGAACTGTGCACTCTAAGTGAGCGATGGCTGTTGTAGTCTTCGCCTCGGCTGTCATATTATGCTTGCCATGTAATTTGTATGCCGGCAGCCGTTGTAATTTATGTATTGCCAAAACATATCCATCAATCGGAGAACTTCTGTAAATTGTGATCACATGCCCTACGCCTGAGTGCACATAATAAACACAATTAGTTGGCATTAACATTTATTTGCCAAACAAAAAATAATAATAATTCGATTTGTACAATTGTAATTATGCAGCATTTGTGGCCTGATTACAAATTGTACAAGATTTGTGTGCACTTGTGGAAAATAGCTCGTTTTGTTGTAGTTTTTTATGGCTGTTCGTTTAATTGCCTGCCAAGCATATAAATAAATACACTAGTTCGCCTTTTAAAGAAATATCAGTTCAATAAAGAAGTATGGATTTATTTTTGTTAAAATTCATCTGACTTTTCGGTGGATATTCAGTATAAATGGCAGTGCATTTGTTTTGAGTGGCAGCCAGTTTTATTTTCAGCGTTTTATTTATCAAAGCAGAATTTTCAATTAAGTAAACAACACATCGAATGCAATATTCGCCGCAAATGTTGCAACATTGCAACTGCAACATGATGTCAAAGTTCAAATGATGAGTTCATCAAATGTCGTCGCGCACACAAAGCGACACTAGAAACAAAGCGCAAATACACTCAACGACAGACAACTCAAGTGCATTGTCTGCACCAGTGTGTGTGTGTGTGTGTGTGTGAGAGAGTGTGACAGTGTGTGTGTGTGTGTGTGTGTAAGTGTGTGTGGCAAACATAAACACAGCATGGCGTCCCTGTTGCAAAATGTAGTATCACAATTTAGCTTACAGCTGGCAAATTTAATAAAGTTGCTGATATAAGAGACACGTGAGTTTTCAGTGAATGGTAAGGCGAAAAATCAGTGCCCGCTGCGATAATCGTTCGAGTTTTAATTTTAACACTGATATTGAAGCACTTCTCTCTTTTCATGGGTTCTTCTCCCAGATGCCAAGGTTGTTTATTCTCTTTTTTAACTGTGCTCATGTAGTGAAAAACTGAGTGTATTTTTCACTACCTTTTCTTTTGCAACTGGGCTTTGGTAACGTTTTTCGCTGCGCTGCTTTGTGTCACCAACAAAATGCCTCTGGTGTGGCACATTGCACTTGATGATGTGTCTATGTCAGGGCTGGGGGCACGAGCCTCGCTGTCCGACCGTCAGCTTCACTCATTTGACCATAAACTAGCTTTGTTGCGCCACAATCAACACACGGTTGGTGCAACAACTGTTCGAGCTGACTGTAGAATGCTGCCCGCTTACTGCTGACTGCTGACTGCCGACTGCCGACTGTTGCCTGCTGACTGCTGATTGTTCACTGTTGTTTGTGCCAACTGTCAAATGCTGCCGGGATGCGCTTTAGTTAAAGCGTTGCCCATTGTCATTGCACCTGTGCAGGGCTTAGTCCTTTCTCTCTGTGCAGGTGTGCGTGCGGACGGGTGTGTGTGTGTGTGTGTGTTAAAGATAGCGGAAGTGCACTTAATTTAATTAATATGCTTCTAATTGCGTAGTGCTGCAAGCTACTACTAAACAGTTTATTTGCCTTAGTTGCATGCAACTGCAGCAATTCATTAACGTAGCTTGCATTAATATCACTTGAGCTAAGAGTCCCATCCCCATCCTGGGATGAGCCAACACTTCAGGCTGATTGTTGTACCAATCAAAATGAGCGCTAAAAAGTATTTATATCTGACTAGCGGGTATCATTTTCACAAGGATCCTGACGAATCCTGAAGCCGAATTTATCTAGAGAGCAAATCATGAACCAAACCCCCCACACCTTATGAGAATCTGTTGAGTTTTGACCAAGTCAAAGTCTAGCCTGACTGGTAAGGGAGAGAGAGAGAAGTTCTTTTATTGGGTTTATTTCCGGTCGATCATTCGCATGGAATATGTACCTAATTGGCACTGTTCTTACTTCCGTAAAGCATAAATTCGAAGTATTTCCAAATGTTGGAATATTTCTTCATGTAACATAGGAACTTGGAATATTTTGGAACTGTCACAACAGTTAACATTAAAATCACAATATATATTCAATGAACCAACACAACTATAAAAGCAACTTGTAAGTTATACCAAAGGACAAGCCCCAGTCAAAGGCCCAGCTCCAAAGCTATAACCATATGCCCTCCGCAAGCAGTATTCAAGCACGGCGTTCAACATGTCCTCTGGCTCATCCAATATTGATCCCAGCGAATTTAACGAGCCCACTGTCGATGTTTTGGAGTCGCCCATTCGTGTATCGCATATAGCGCAAGATCCTGAAACTGAATTGCAGAGAACATCGTCGCGGTCGTCCCATCAGCGGGGCTCCAATGGACATGGGCGTAGGTTACGGCAGCGCGTGGTGGCGCCACCTATTGGCAATCAGTGTCGCATCTGGATATACCAGCCAATGTATGAGCCACATCCGAATAGACATGCCCTGAATCGCATTATATTCTCAATAGCACGAGCACTACGCACACGACGCTCGGTGCCGGCTCAGCCGGGCCAGCGTCCAGGCGTTATATACAGACGGAATGCGGACATGATAACAATAGATGTTGAGAGGGAGTAAGTGAATCAGATCCAAATTGAATATTATATCAGCTCATCTAGTTAACCTACCCGTGTGCTTGTCTAGCATGGAGAGAGAGTTTTATTCAAGATCCAGACGCATATATGCTAACAACAGGAACACTTGAATTTAGGCTTGCATAGAAGGCAGTTATGCAAAGAAAAAATTAATAATTGGACAGTATATCAAGTAATCAAATTTCAATAAGCAGCCATTTCGGGGGGTTTCATATGTCAAGGTCGATATCATGTAAGTACAGAGGAGCTTTCATATTATCCTGAAGGATAATGCCACAAGATCTAGATAGCTCAATCTTTTCGTGGTTGCGTTGCAGTATGCGTTTGCCCATCGTCTGCAGTATCGCTTTGTTATCGCTTTCGTATCTTCCAACGAACAGAATATGGCTGAAAATTGTGTTAGTTCGGGGAGACGGAAAATGCGCGGCATCTGGGACGTAGGAGCACATATGCCTGGGACATGGAAAGGCCTGTCGAAGATATATATATATATATATTTTTATAATTAATGCATAAACATTTCTGTGTTTAAAGATTATGTTGTTGAGTGCTTGGCGTGCGCATCGTCAATGAACTTAAAAAGGCGATACCAGCATCTTTTCATTTCTGTCTATTGCAAAAATAATTGATTAAAGCACTCTGAAATATTTGACGGCATTTGCATTTGCTGCGTTATTTTCTGTGTCGCAGTCGCTGTCAAATTTAAGTAGCAGAGCTCGGCAATCTTTTCTTGGTTTTTATTTTCAGAAATTTATACTAATTGGTATTACAAATTGCTGCATCTGAGTGCTCCAATCAAATGTTCTTGCAGACATTTGACATATATTTGTCAGATTGGATTACATCAAGTTCTTGTCGCTCGTCAAATTTGAACATTGTTTAATCGAGCTAATTAGCTGCCACATGTGGCATCTGTTGGACGAATCAAACGAACAACAGCCAGGCACTTGCCTCATGTGGCACACACAATGTCAATTATACAATTAGAAATTCTAAGTCAGGGGCTGCAGCTGCCATGGCAATAAACATAATTCTCTTGCACATTATTTTGTAATTTGAAAAGCAGCTTTTTGTAGCAATTCGAGTTACTTAACTATTTATGTACACAGTTCATGACTGTAGAACAAATGTGGAAATGGCCTTTGGAGGCGCTGTCGATGCCATTAAAAGTTATTGCTGTTAATAACCAATTAAAGTGCAAAAATAAACATCAATTATCAGGCATGGTATGCTGCTCAGTGTAAAAGCTGAACTTTCCGCTGCGGCATGCAACTTTTGCTGTAACAGCCACAATGTGTGCAGCGAGAATTTCTATATGCACATATATTTCTAGTCGCATTCTATAAGTAATATTGCATGTGGCATGTTTGAAATTTATGCACATTGTTGCGTAACATATGGCCGCACTGGCTGTGGTCCTGCCTGTGCCACTGGCTGTGGCATAAGTAATCAAGCTGCCCCAAAAAAAAAAAAAAAAAAAAAATCTGAAAAGTGGCAACTAAGTACTATTGGCCATTTACTGGGCCAACTTGCAATGTGCAAATGCCAACTAAATGCATGCAAAATGTTTTACAACTCCTAAAAGTGTGCGAGTACAGTGTGTGTGCGGTGTGTGTGTGTGCTGTAAGTGTGTGCTGTGTGTGTCTTAAGCTGCTCTAAGAAAGATGGCAACATATAGACATTTACCTGGTCTTGTAAGTGTACTTTGTCTCTCCATAGCACTGTGGCGCATATGCACATTTGCTATGACATAAATTACTGTCTCGCATAAATTATATTATATTTGAGGCTCCATTTACTTAACTATTAGGGCAATCGAACGCAACATATGCTTGTTTCTTTATATTCTATTTATGCAAACGTGAATTATGTTATCTTTGAGAGCTCTGCTTAACAGCTGTTATCTTAACATATAATGTTAAAATTCAAATAATGAATTATATGATTTGAAGCAAAGTCTGCAAATAAACCAAAATCGCTGGGCCTATTGCTTAAAGCATTTGCAAACTACGAAAAATGTTAAATTATGTTATCTATGTGAGCTGAGCTTAACAGCTGTTATGTTAACATATACAGTTAACATGTTTGTCTTACCCAACACTACAGTTAACGCTATTTGGCTTATGTTAATGCACATTGCCATTATTTTAGGCTATATTAAAGGTGTTAATGTTGCCCATAGTGCAGCTACCTGTACGTTTGTGTCTAGAACATTTTGCATAAGTCACACCTTGAGGCGTTCTTTTAAACAACTGCACTTTAAAATTGTACAAGTATCTAAATGATATGCTCGTATCTGCAAGTGTCTCTTGAAGTGCTTAGATTTTGCTCGCTTTGCTTGCCTTAATTGACATGCAATGAGAATTGGTAGCCTACTGTAACCTGCCCTTACCTTCTTCTGCTTGCGCCACCCTTCAGCGCCCTTGAGCAAACTTTGCTTGTGCTTAAACAAGTGCTTTTTGTGTAATTTTTGGACAGTTATTTTATTTCTTCGCCTTTACTTTCCGGGGCCAAACAAACTTTTGCAGCAGCAGCAGCAGCAAGTTAAACACGCAAAGGACGCAAATTGTCAAGGTGCCTCCTCGACTTGAACATCACAGGCCAAGCTCCAGCAGCGTACACTGCTCGAAAATGCTGCTCTCAATTGAGTGCTTTTGACATTTATTCTAGTGTACTTTATGGCGCATATATACTTACTTTTCAAGTTACGCATACGCCCCGTATGTGGGTTTGGGTGTGTGTGCGGAAATGGCAAAAAGTTTGCTAACAGCGGACCACACGACAAATTATGCTAAAATGATTATATTCATTTTCAGAAAAGTCCAAGGTGATCGAAGGTTCGAGTGAAAGTTAGCGTGGCATATAGGAAATTCCAGTTAGAAGTGCTTGAAATGTAAAAAGAAGTCGAATAGGTAGCTAACTAGATCATTTAATAGTGAGAATATGTGCTTATCCCAATTAGATATATTAGTTCCATTAATAGGTTTTTGTATGATAAACTGTTTCTGTTTTTTAACATTACTTGGCCAAATTCAGCTCTGAATTAATAAAGGTATTTCTAAGACAAATGTTTTAAAGTGTATTCGACTTACTGAAAATGGTTTTTTTTCCTTGTTTATACTTCGGATTTTTAAAAGCCCTTTCCAACTCTTAGCATTGGAAACACGTCAAAGGATGCTTAAATATAAATAAATATATTTGCTTATTTTTTTTTTTTAATAATTTTGTGTCTTAAACGCGGGTACAGTGAAACTCTCCTAACGTACACACTTATGCACTTATGCTCAACATTATAAAGGCTTCGGCTTTCTGTTAGGTGGAGACTCCCTTTGGTCTCAACGTTTGCTGTCCCCCTGTGTGAGTGTTTACTGTGCATTTTCAGCTAGGAGAAATAATAAGCCACTTTGCAATCTTAGTTTTGATGAACGAGTCAGACAACTCTTTAACCGCTTCAAAATTTGGTATCATATTCTATAATTATGTTTATAATATCCCAATTAGTATTGAGAGTTTTAATAACATAATAGTTTGCGTAATCGTATGGTCGAAAACCCTAGTCTGTAATTCGTAACCAATACCTCATTATTTAGTTGCCTTAAGCCTCACTCCAATTGCCAGCTCGTGTTTGATGGATATTCATTGCATTTGAGTCCATTCATGGTTGTGAATTTAAGCCCAGCTGCCTTTGCATTTGCCTCATTTCCTGCATTCAAGTAAACATATCAATTTAAGTGCTGAAATTTCCAGCTCAGTTCTCCTTGGTAACTGATCGAATATAAAAATATGCATACAACTGTGAACTTTTACCTGTTCGCATGCCACATTCGTGTCGACATGGAAATGTCTGACTGTGCATGCGTGTGTGTGTGTGTGTGTGTTTGTGTGTGCATTCCGTTGGAGTATACGGAAATTGCAAGACCAGAAAAGCAGAAAACCCGAAAAACCTGTAAAAATCCAGGCAAATGGTGCGCGTTTGCGTCTGCTTGGACGATTGCTGACAACATCTGCCAGGATATCCTGACGCATCCGACTGCGTTCTGTCCTATCCTGTCCTGTCCTGTCCTGTCCTGTCCTGGCGATGACAGCTGATGAGTTTCTGGTGTCGGCATAATTGACGACAAACATTCACAGTTTGCGGTTAATTAGTTGCAACATTGCTGCCGCAACTTGCCGCACAGATTGCAGGTGAAACATCTGCAACAGCAGGGGCACACCGCACTGAGATACTCTGCCCTGATTCTTTATGTTGCACGCTGCAACATTTGCTTGCCGCACAATGAAAACCAAAAATTCAATTAATTTGTGAATAAACACAAATTGAATTGCGTTGCCGTTGACGTTGACTTTTGTATGCAACACCATCTCCACACCCACGCATTCCCCACCCCCTCCTGAGCCCTTCTGGTGCCTTTTGGAGCTGCATAATTGCCAGTGACATGGCCGCACTTGCACTTGGTTTGGCGCTGCGCTGGCGTCGAGCATGTCGACGCCATCTTTGACGGCTTCTTAATTAAAAGACTGTCAATCTGTGTGTCTGTATGTGTGCGCATGCATTTGCCGGGCTGAACAGGATATAGGCAGCCATACAGTCAGCCATCCAGCTGGCAGGAGGCAACGAGCCTGTCACTGCCTGCCCCGTTGCAGCATCCGGCAGTGCTATTGTTAGCATCAAGTCAAGCGCGTGGCAAGCTGGCAAAAAAAAAAAAAGCTGAAGGAGAAGAGGAAAACAAAATCACACAGCAACACTCAGTTGCATGGATGGGGAGCCTGTAGAAGGATCAGCGGGAGCTGTGTCGCTATGCAACTGCACTTCACTTATAAACAGGAAAGAAGCCGAGAAAAAACCGGTATACAGAGTGTGAAAGTGCTTTAGGCGCAACAACAATGACTTGGATATACCCTGTAATCATTTGGAAAGTTGTGGAATGCAGTTGTTAGATGTGGATAAATGATAAGGATGTCCTTTAAGAAGTCTCCAGCTCCAGGCAATCTCGTTAAAAACTTCTTGGGATCAGTCCCTCATATTAGACTCTTTTGACAGGCGCTTTGGGTAGGCTATCCAGGATAGGATAGGCCTAGTTGGCCCTTTGCAAGGTCCTTCTGGGCGGCTTCTCTTAGACCCTGCTAATAGCCTTCCTGTTAGGCTTTACGAGTACAATCTTCTGCTTGATTCCGATAGGGCTTGCATGTAGACCCCCACGATGGGCCCCGTTCTGTTGAGCACTCCTCTTGAGCCATTGCCTTTATATTTACTTTTAAAAAAGCCTTCAATTAAGTAAATGAACCAGTCTTGTTCATCAATTCCTTTTTGCTTTCCACAATATCCAAGCGTGCGTCTTGCATATCTTAACCTTGACATGAACTGCAGCTCTTAAAGATATTTTGTGTGCTGCATGCCAAATTTGCTGGCAGTTTCTGACAGTTGTTGCGATCAATAATAATATGGATACTTTCTTGAAACAGTTGCAAACCCATAAACAAGTGTTGAAACCCCGTTTCCTTTGTTTGTTGTTTTTGGGTTTGCAGGGTATAAAAATGCAGAAAAAATGACTTATAAAACGCATTTGCAGTAAAGGGAAAACAGCGTGCAGCACGACGACACACACACACACACACATGCACACACAATACAAGTGCCGCTCATTGACAGCGCGCTG